CCCTGATCAAATTATATTTTGTTGATTTTGTTTTGTTATGTTTTTTTTGTTTTGTTTTGTTTTGTTGTCACACTAAAATAGACATTTTTCTGTAAATTTAGTGCACGACTTCTATTTATTTATTTAACATATTGGAAAAAATAAAACATAAAATATAAAATGTGCCATTATTTTTGCCACAAGAAGTGCTCTTCTATTTACATCAGCAGAAAAAGCACATGCAAACTCAGCTGGGCAGCAGTTAGGTCACTTCTAGCCCTATGTTTCCTCCTTATGGTAGATATGCTAAACCACACTATGTTCACCCAAGCCCAACAGAAAATAAAACAGTCAACACATACCACATCCAAACTAACTAAACAACAACACAACAACAGCAACAACTGTCTCTTTTACAGAGGGGGAAGAGTGCATGGCACAGCTTTGCATACTACACATCTAAAGCCCCTTCTGAAATGCGGAGTGTGTGGCGGAAGCTACAGTATGCAAGTGGGTAGCTTATGGAACTATAACTAATCATTCCCAGACAGATGTAAAAACCCATTTTCAAAAAAAGTTGTGACACTGCAAAATGTAAATAAAAACAGAATGCAATGATATGCGAATCATTTCAACCCCACATTTTATTGAAAATAGTACAAAGACAACATATCAAATGTTGAATCTAAGACTTTTTACTGTTTTTAAAAAATATATGCCTATTTTGTATTTGATGCCAGCAACACATTTCAAAAAAGTTGAGACAGGGGCAACAAAAGGCTGGTAAAGTTGTGTATTGTTAAAAAAAACACCTGGTGGTCAGCAGGAACACCAGTTACAAAGAGAACAATAAGTACTACTGTTATTAATTTGTGGTCTGAGTATTTTTCCTGTCAGCCTTTTTTAAGATCTTTGTTATGCTTATGAATACACAGTAGAAAGTCTAGTTAAAGTGAATATATGCACTAGAAGTATATTAAATAACAAATAACAAAAGTGTCTGCATGCTTGCAGTATTAAATTTATATAAAAAGTGAAACTCTGTGAAAACTGATATGCTGTGCTTTCATCTGAAATCTGTGTTATATTATATAAAGCTTCATACACAGTAGATTTTTTGTGGGCACTGATGAACCAGCCATTCTATCGGACTTGACGTATGTCAGCAGTGAGGTGAATCTCAGGTTTTGTCTGTTCCAACATCTTTTTTGTGTCACCCTGTCCCAGCAGCTTCCTGTCCTCCTCTCTTTCAGCTGTTTTCTATTTTGGATTTTGCATTCAAATGAAATTTGGCCCCTAGTTTGACATTGAGTGCTTTCAGTTGCCTTTTTTGCTTTTGAGTTTCATACAAATCTAATCATGTCATCTTTCATGCTTTGTAGGAGCATCTAGTAAATCAAGTGTGATTTATGGTTAAGAAACATTAATCCATTAATGTCCATATTGGAACTTTTACATTTCCTCAATCCTGGTCCTGGAGATCTACCATACTGGAGAGTTCAGATCCAACACACCTGGCTCCAGTTGTCAGAAACTCCTGAAGGCTTTCATTACCTGGATCAGGTGCATTAGCTTACGGTTAGGGCTAAACTCTACATGGTGGAAGATCTCCAGGACCAGGATTGAGCACCTCTGCCTTAGGTCCAAATGTTCTCTGAGCATAAATGAGCACAAATCTGAAGAACTTTTCAAATCAATCAAAGTATATTACAAAAAAGGTAAGTTTGACTTATTATTTTTTGTTTATTAATATCTAGACTTTTGGCCACATGGGACTACTGAGCACTAGAAAATGCAAATGTGGGTTCTAAATAGAAAAATCAAACAAAATTTGACTGTGAATAAAGGCATAATAATTAAATAGGGACCGTTCAATGATCATTCAAGGTATAACTATACAACATTTCATCATTTTTGACCAGTGTTTTTCAACCTGTGAGACACGGCCCGCCTGTGAGTCTTAGTGGTACTACGGGTACTACTAGGGGGCTGTGACTGCAAAGATTTGCTACAATATAGACATTTAACCAAACATAATTTTTAATATGACAAACGTTGTTGTGATAATTACTTGCAAAAATAAAACATCGTATTTATATCAAGCTCAGTGAGTGTTCTGGCAAAATGCTAGCTAGTTATGTTTTCAGTGTAAGTCATATGAGATTTATCCATCATGGACAAATGGTTAAAATCAGGGTCTTTCCAAAGGAAAGATCCTAAGGCTTGTCCATCTACAGAGACTGAGAAAACCAAAAAAAAAAAACATAAGTAGCATAAACTGAAATGAAGAAAATGTAGCAGTAAGTAGCTAGTGCTGGGTTTCAAACACATAGCAACTGAAAATGCTCTGTTGTTTGCTCAGAGGTCTCTTCAAATGTCAAAAGTCAAAGAATTTTCACCATCACTTTGAAACGACACATAGTGAGCATGTATCTAAACCAAATCGAAATGAACCAAAACCCATTGTCCCCTCTTCAGCCTGACATTCAGCATTTTACAGCTGTCAAACAATATCAGTACCTTATCAGGTGAGTGAGAAAAACACAATCGGACTGATTAAATCTTTTTGAGGGCTGAAGATTTTGTGGTCATTTGTGTGGGCTGTGAACTGCGAAAGGTTTGGAACCTCTGATTTAGACCAACGAGAACAAGTGGCATTTTTCTCTGTCATACTAAGTGTAGTTGTAAGACCTGAAATCACCTGATATTGTACATCACAATCAATTAATGAATTTTCATTTGCCTGAATTTCAATGAGAGGAGAAATGAAACACAATAGGATCTTTAAAAATGCCCCCTCTTAAAATAGACACATATTAAAATGTCATTTTTCTCAGTGTTCCCTCACCTCAACCCTCTCTCTTCCACTGACTTTTTCTTTCATTGCTCCACAGATTGCCCAAACTGACCGAACAGCAGAAAGGATTAACTGTGTGTCCCTTGCACAATCTCATTGTTATTACCTCTGTCCATTAATGTGCCCACAGCCAAGCACAAGGCTTTATCCATTTAGGGATTACTGGGTGCTGTACTCCACAAATGCACATCAGGGGAAACAGTGCATTTAATATGGGGTCGACTCTCCCTCTGGGTATGTCCCTGTTTTGGCACAGTAAAAAAAAACAATGATGTGGATTTTAAGTGTTTTAAATTCCCAGGTAAGCATCTTACTGTGATTATGCAATACATTATGGATTGTAGAATCGCTGGCCTAAGACCCTATGTCCTCTTTTGGATAAAAATGACAGTGTGTTAGATTCTGTAGAAAGCATTCTAGAGAAACTTACCAACTGATCCTTATTTACAATGTCAGTGACAGGAAACAGGCTTTGTGATGTCTACAGCAAAAAGTCTTTTTATTTACTATCCAAAATGACCACTGAAACTACACACTTCTTCTGAGTATTTATATATAATGTTTCTAATAATAATTAGTTTTTTTTCTGGGACTATTTTGCCCTACAATACCCTGCATGTACCTGTCTGCCATGAATGGGTTGTGAAAAATATAAATTAGGCAAAAACATAAAACTATTGTAAATTAACATCTCAGGCAACAGGTAACGTACAGGGTGTCCCAAAAAAATTGACATCATTTGAGATGTGAATATCTGAGTAACTACATGTCCTGGGCAAACGAAATTAAATAGGCTTCATGTTGAACAATACAAGATTTAGACATCAAAATTCGAACAAGAAATTCAGAGGGATGTAGATTTTATAACCGATTTCGCAAAGCTTCACAAATGTAATATCTTCCGATACTGGTGGTCGTCCAGATCCCTTTGCCCTGCACAGACAGCCTTCCTCTTTGAATTTTTTGTGCCATGTCCAAATCTGCTTTCCAGTTGGTGCATTTTTATTGAATTATCTCGAAAATTCATGCTGCACACTCTTGTTTGACTGTGTTTGAGCATATTCTAACACACAAAATGCCTTTTCATTTCTAGTGAACACCATTCTTCAACCTGAAAAAAACATTAAAAATTAAACTTGGTTAGTTTTTACACATTTTGTTAAATTTGAGGTCATTTGAGGGAGAATTGGCTGCTATTAGACTACGAAATGATGTCAATTTTTTGGGACACCCTGTATTTAACTATATCATGTAATAACTTTCTGTGTGGGAGCGTTTGGAGGCATTTAACAGACGTCTGGTTCCCATCACCACGGCTGTGAACGATTCTGACTCGGTAAGTTTCTCTATGAGGGAAGGGAGTGTTTAACTCCAAGACACAGTTAGGCCCCAACCTATAGGCATGATCAGCCTTTCAGGTTTCAGGCTTTAAGGACTCAGGCCTCCAACCCACAACCTCATTGCCAAGACCCCAGATTTAATATGTAACCATTTCTATTTGCCTTAGGAGTCAGACTCGGAAAGCACCAACAAACACAGGAACAAGACATTAAATTAAACCAAAAATTACCACACTGTAATGTTTTCTGTCTTTAGACTGGATAAAAACATTACAATATAGTATTGTGAGTTTTTTTATTATCATTATTCAAAGCCTTCAGCTGGCAAGACGGATGTAAACGCCGTGTATATGGCTGCGTCCAAAACCGCATCCTACCGAAGTACGATTCAGCTTCTATCGATTCACTGAAAAGAATCGATTCGATTGTTTCACTTACATCGGTTCTCCGTCGCGTGCGGATTCGGAAGCCGTTGGAAATGTCAGCCTAAACTAGCTAACCTAAATGTCAATAGAGCTGTTTGTAAACTACATTACACATTGGTTTACATTGGGCTAGGTTTCCAAGCAGCAGATGATTCAAAGTACCTCTTAATTTTGCGAATGTGAGAAATAAATTAGCGTAAAGTAAATTAGCTAGCTAGCTGCTGTTTAGCCTACTGGTTGCTAGGTAGCTCGGTTAACGTTAACGTTAGTTACGTTTCCTGACGTGCTATTAGAAGGCGGCTCGGTTAGCTAGCAGACGTTACGAAAAGCTGCTTAAATCTGTTAACCTGTGACATTAAATATAACAGTTAAGTCAGTTGTAATTTGGTCTTACAGGTCATGGCTCAACATTTCTTTGGACACCCTGGCTCTGCTACATTTCAGTCGACACCTAAAGCTGCTCATCATCGTGCGCAAACAAAGGTAACGTTAGCTAAAGATTTTATCTTACTATTTAAGGTCAAAGCAGTAAAAGGGTACTATACGTTGTCTCGTGCAACGTTAATTGAAAAAGGTAAAAGAAAAAATGAGTAATTAGAAAGTGTTTGTTATGTATCTTTTGTTTTTACCTAGCTGGCAGAAGAGGGGCATAGTATAGACCATGAGACAACAGGTGAAACGCTGTCTTTTGTAACACTAGATGATGGCCACGACCAACAAAGGTGAGTGACGTGATGTGGAAAAGGTGCCAGGTAATGAAGTGTTTTGGGAAGAAAAGAATGAAAGTCCTTGATCATGTCAGATATTCACTCGCTCTCCATCTTTTTCTTAAAGTGAGGACTCGGGCATCAATGTTTCAAGCAGAGGTTCACCTGTAAACCTTACTGTAGATGATGTTGTCCCCAACCCTGTTAACTCAAGAATAGATGAGATTGGGAAGAAAGCTCAAGACCTTATAGAGCGGATCAACCAGAGCAGGGCCATGGACCAGAAAGTCTTGAACAGCTTTGAGGAGAAGCTAATGCGGAAGGTATTGTTTGCTGTTTAGAGAAACCCTAGTCTGTAAAATAGCACTTTAAAATACCATTCAAATGTTTGCAGGAAATATGCTTGTTGCTTGGGTTTAAAGGTGTATAAACTGAAGCAAGATAAGACTCTAAGGAAAAACACTTTAATCCAAAAGTTCACAAGCTGCTGCATAACTCTGCAGACAACTCTCATGGGAGCTTAGGGTCATGGAACATTTGTTAAGAAGGTGATTTTGAACCTAGTGGTTTTAATCACCTTTGTAATTAGTCAGCGGAGACAGAGGAAGCGGATGATTTGTTCTTAGAAGACAATCCTAGAAAATTCAACTGTTCTAAAACAGTTGACTGGGCTGGGATTTCAGAGACAGCACTGGCAATGTCTCTGCGTCTTGTTACTGGATACTCTGTTGTCAAGCTGTGGCAGATGTCCTAGAGAAATAGAGAAGGTCGAAAACATGATCAGGACAAGAGGAAATGGTACAGGAAGTTTGGAGCAGAAACAGAATGTATTCATAAAATTAACAGTATAACAAATGTGTTTTCATTTGTGTAAAATTTTATTTATGCAATTTTCCCCTTGTCCCAGATGTTCTCGATAGGCCAAGACATGTTTGGTATCCGAAGTTTGCTTCTTTAGTTTTGCACTGGAGCTCTGAAGCTACTGTTGCTAATAAGTAACAGATGCTTATGTATACCAATTTGCATCATGCATACTGCAACTCTGTCAAGCTGTTAAGTATTCTCAAATACACTTGCTTTTGTGGTTTCTTATGTAGTATGTCTGACATACTGTTATTTAAAATGGTCAATATGGACAAGATTCAAGATCTTTTTCTCTTTGATAATAGTATGTCTTGTATAGAAGCCTATTTGCTTCCATTAATTCTTAACTTTATTGGCCTCATAGCTTTAGTGCAAAACTGAAAAAGAAAACGTTGGACACCAAACATCTTGGCTGATCAACTACATTTGGTGTAACTACATTTGGGCCAAATGCAGCCTGAGGACTAATTGTAATTAGGCCTGTGGCTTCTGTGTGTTATAAGTGGCCCACCGGCCAGTATGTTGCAGTTTATCCTTTCACCTGATGCTTGGCAACAGCACTGTAAACGAAGCACTGTAGCACTGTAGTAACGAAGGCAGCTAAAGTTTTAACAGCCTTTCTTCTCTGACTAGACTTGCAGCGAATGATATGTAGTCGAGACTACAGCCATAAAGCATAAACTCAACACTGTGAATTATCAATTTGGGCAGAATGGAAATTTAAATACTTTTTCCATCGAGAGCCACAGCAAATGAGTGTGCCTCATATGCCAAAGTCTGTAATTTTTAATATCCGTAGATAAAAAACAAAGCATAGAAATACAATAAATACTCATAGGTCAGAGAAACTAAAGCAACTACAATCTACCCGAGTCTAACAGCACCAACTTTTTTATCAGAATAAATTCATTAGTTCAGTAAATATTACCAAAAAAATGCAAACAAATATGTGGCTCTTTGTGCTGTTTATTTGCTCTTCTTGTTTTAAGGCATTTAATGCGGTAGCTGCATTTATTTGATATGTTAAGGACATTAGCTAACAAAACCAAAAATGTATAGATTTTTGGTTATTTTGTACAACAAGTAAACACTTGAATAGGAATGTACTAGACTTTACACAGAGACATGTTTATTGTTACTCTTAAACATACTCTTTATTATATGTTAGAAATGCTTACTGATATATATTGCTCTGAGCAATCCAACAATAAAAAAGTATCTTTAACAATAAACAATAAAAATGTATCTTTAATATAGTGATAGGAAACACAGTAACTTAAAGAAAGCTCAAATTCTGTGCTATACAGTGGTGTGAAAAAGTGTTTGCCCCCTTCCCGATTTCCTTATTCTTTTGCATGTTTGTCACACTTAAATGTTTCAGATTACCAAAAAAAAATTAAATATTAGACAAAGATAACACAAGTAAACACAAAATGCAGTTTATAAATGAAGGTCTTTATTATTAAGAGAAAAAGAAATCCAAACCTACAGGGCCCTGTGTGAAAAAGTGATTGCCCCCTAAACCTAATAACTGGTTGGGCCACCCTTAGCAGCAACAACCGCAATCAAGCGTTTGCGATAACTGGCAATGAGTCTTTTACAGCGCTGTGGAGGAATTTTGGCCCACTCATCTTTGCAGAATTGTTGTAATTCAGCCACATTGGAGGGTTTCCGAGCATGAACCGCCTTTTTAAGGTCATTCCACAGCATCTCAATCGGATTCAGGTCAGGACTTTGACTAGGCCACTCCAAAGTCCTAATTTTGTTTTTCTTAAGCCATTCAGAGGTGGACTTGCTGGTGTGTTTTGGATCATTGTCCTGCTGCAGAACTCAAGTGCGCTTCAGCTTGAGGTCACGAACAGATGGCTGGACATTCTCCTTCAGGAATTTTTGGTAGACAGCAGAATTCATGGTTCCATTTACCACAGCAAGTCTTCCAGGTCCTGAAGCAGCCAAACAGCCCCAGACCATCGCACTACCACCACCATATTTCACTGTTGGTATGATGTTCCTTTTCTGAAATGCTGTGTTACTTCTACGCCAGATGTGGGACATACACTTTCCAAAAAGTTCAACTTTTGTCTCGTCAGTCCACAGAGTATTCTCCCAAAAGTCTTGGGGATCATCAAGATGTTTTCTGGCAAAAATGAGACGAGCCTTTATGTTCTTTTTTTCTCAGCAGTGGTTTTCGTCTTGGAACTCTGCCATGCAGGCCATTTTTGCCCAGTCTCTTTCTTATGGTGGAGTCATGAACACTGACCTTAACTGAGGCAAGTGAGGCCTGCAGTTCTTTGGATGTTGTTGTGGGGTCTTTTGTGACCTCTTGGATGAGTCGTCGCTGCACTTTTGGGGTTATTTTGGTCGGACGGCCACTCCTGGGAAGGCTACTGTTCCATGTTTTCGCCATTTGTGGATAATGGCTCTCACTGTGGTTCGCTGGAGTACCAAAGCTTTAGAAATGGCTTTATAACATTTTCCAGACTGATAGATCTCAATTACTTTGTTTCTCATTTGAAGAAGGGGGGGGCCAATCACTTTTTCACACAGGGCCCTGTAGGTTTGGATTTCTGTTTCCCTTAATAATAAAGACCTTCATTTATAAACTGCATTTTGTGTTTACTTGGGTTAAATTTGTTTGGTGATCTGAAACATATATATATATATATATATATATATATATTACAGTTTAATATTTTGAAACATTTGTGAATAATATTTTGGTCCTTTGGTATTTTGACAGGGTCTGATCTGGCCCTCTTTGAAAAAGGTTTGGACATCCCTGGTCTGTGAAGTTTGCCATCATCTGTCCTGTGTGTTTGTGTATGACTGCAGATGAGTGAGATGTGCCAGCAGGTGAAGGAGCAGATGTTTGAGTATTATGAGGAGCACAGTCGAGGGATGGAGACTAAGCTCACAGAGCTTTCAGAGGTGCTGGAGCGCAGCACTCAGCTTAGCATGGAGCTACAGGGAGCCAGTCAGACACTGGCAGCCATCAACAAAGGTCTACAACAAACTGCCCAGTAGACACAATGCCACATCACACAGCACTTAAAATACTTCCATAGCACCAGATACCTGAAAGCCAGTAGAGGTTAATAGTGGAACACCATAGTACAATAATATAGAAGTTGTTTATATTACTGGAGTAGTGAAACGCTCACTCATTTTATGTCTCTAGCAGAAATTATTTTTTTTCTAGAATAAATCCAAAACTTACAGCATGTAATGCTGCTCTGTTAGTGGAACAACAAAAAGTTTAATTTAAAACATAAATGTTGTTGAAAAAGTACTGTAAGGCACAAGAACCTGAAAGGATGTGTTTGTGCTCTTTGTGATTGATGTTTAGTTTTATTAAACTTACTGAAAGCATTAACTATCAGGCTATGTTTGTGTAGTTATTGCTGCGTAAGATGAAGAGAGAGGCTTTGTACGATGAAAGTTTTTCTTCCAACCTTATTTTTAGAAACCTAATTCTGTTTAATTTGATGTCAGCCGTTGTTATAAATGTTACAACATAATAAGCTATTCATTACATATAGACACCCAGACCATCATAAAATGAGGACTGGATAAGACAGAGTGCTAAAAAGCAGTGGACCATCAGGTAACAAGGGCTTTTTTCACGGTAACATGCACACAATCACCTTGTAACTAGGATAATAGTACAATGGAGCAGAACATAAAGAGCTTAGAGAAAGTTTAACCGTACTATGCATTATTCTGATTGGCAAGTATTTCAAAACACTTGTGTCACAGATGTTAAACAGTTTATGAAACCATATGACATTAAGCATGTCATGGCTAGTAAAGTAAGATGAAAAATTATTCACTGTAATTATTCACTGTAATTCAGATTCAGTCTAGACTGTTTCTAAAATTGACATGCATATGATAATGATTGCTTTGGGTGTATCATAATGGTCTGGGTGTTGTGTTACACTGCATTACCTGAAGGAGGATAATAAATCAGTTATTTTGTAAGGCAGCTGAATAAGGAAAGGTTCATTCACTATTTTATGAAAAAAAATTATGTACAACTGTCATTATTTATTTATTTATTTTTTTACCCAATTTTTGGTGGGTGCTCTTTTCAGTCTTAGACTGAAAGCATGTACTTTGAGGATTGTGTGACATGCAGGGCTGTCATGATTGTGAAATTTTGGCTGACAATTAATTGTCATATAGCTAATTGCAATTAATAAATTTGTCTTTGTTCATTGTGTGCAACTATTAAAGTACCAGCCTAAAGTGGTTAAATTAACTGATTATCCATCTTGCTTCCTTGCTGCCATGTTTGCTTAAATAAATGTCTACAGTTATAGAATCTTTTGTAGAGTAAATCAAAGCTAGATTTGTTCTTGAGAGTGAAATCGTCAACAGAACAAAACATCAATTCTGAATCATGCTAAAAATCTTAGTTAGCTACATAGCTAAACAAACATTACTCGCGCTGCCCTCTAAACATGTTAGAGCACCATGTTAGAAATTTTTGCAAGTCCCATGTTGTGCGTTTAGGAATGCATTACTGCTATTGTTTACATTTATTTGCGTCAATCCAGCGCATCAAATGCTTCATTTTGCTTGTTGAAGCACAATATTGTTGTTAAATCTGTAGAAAATATTGTAGTCAGCTTAAACACTTGCGATCATCTCAGATAATTGCAAATAAAAAAATTATGTAATAACTGTGACAGGCCTGTCAACACCATTTTTGTTTTCCGCAAAGAATGAATTGCAAAGAGTGAAGTTCATGCGATTGCTGTGGTCATTTAAAGTTCCAACCAGTTTTAAAGAATTTATAGACATTTTTATATCTGTTACAAATTAAGGATCGAGGAGTTTAAAAAGCCACCCAAAGATTTTGGCTTGGTGGGTGAATCAATGACCAAAAAACTAGTGTCTTATCAAGCAAATATCAGCTCAAACTAAAGCTTTTGGAAAAATACCACATTCAGCCACTTTTCATTCAAAAAGGAACAAATTCCTTTCTACTAAATTCTAAGTTGAAACACACTATTATTCCAAGTATTTTACATTAAGCAATTAGACATAAGTGAGCAACAGTTAACGTGAAAGGAAAGACAAATAGGCATGAACAAACAACAAACTCAGTTCACTGTTTATTTACCTACATTGAAAATAGTGTCAGACTCTAGAATGACATGCTTGTTTCAGTTGGTTACATTTAGCTTTGGCTCAAAACATTCACAGATTTGACCTTTATTTTAATATTGTATTACATTTTACTCTGTCCTTATGAATGTTTAGATACCACCGTTCTTACTCTCACTCCGAGAGTACAATCTTTACATGTACATTTTATTCTATGTACAAAACCTGAAATGAAACTACAGTCCAAGGGGTTTATCATATTCAGAGTAGAAAAATAGTTCTTTGCTTTGAGATTAAGGGCTACTTAAAGTAATTACATATGATGAACTTACAAATGACTTACATTAATCAGAGATTCCCTCTGTCTTTAAACCTCACTTCTGCACAGTATTTTCAGTGTTAAAAACTTGTAGGGGGGTAGTGTTCAATGAAAACCCACTGCAGTAACCTTAGATCACCATAGGACCAAAGTAAAAGCCAGCAGCAATCTATATAGTACACATTCTGCCCTGTTGAAGCAGCAGGAGCAGAAATTTATTTCTCCACAGTAAAGGCCTGTAGTCCTGTGATGGCTCTGCCCAGGATTAGGGCATGGATATCATGGGTACCTGCAAGGGCAGAGAACAAAGCGTGAAATTTCCAAGTATAAAACCCAAAAAATGCAAAGGTATTCATGTAATGTTGTAAGAAAGAGGGAGTGGAGTTTGTGAAGATGTACAATACACAGGGCTCTGAGCTTGTAGTCTAAAACAGTGTATATGCTCTTATGTGTAACATTTGTGATGGAAGAATTTGAATTAAAAAGAAAAAAAAACATAGTTCTGGTTCTGAAATCTGGTTAGCTGAGCTACATACAGATCTGTCATAAAATGCTGTATGCACACATGGCCACACATCAGTCGAGTTCTGTATTAATGTGCCAAGTTATTAAAAATCCTTACGTTAAAAAAAAAACAAAAAAAAAAACTGAGCTACACTGAATAAATAGAAAAAGTGTTTATTGTAATCTTTATCAACAGTTAACTAAAGTATATTTTGCACACTAGTTTATTTCACAATATTGTATTTTGTAGCCAGTTGGCATTGTGCATAACACCCCTTAAAAAAAAAAAAACAATACACAGCTTTTCATGGCTTATTGAGTTACAAACAGTGCCATACTTTTATATTTGACTTTACTGCACCCTTGTGGTTTGACTTGTTTTTTGTTTTTTTTAACACTAATTATAATCGTGCATCAGATCTCACAAATTAGTTTGTGAGATCTGACGTACATGATTATAATTATTTTTATTTCTCCCTCTGTACATCAACTCCGTTATTTTGACTGTGCCAACTGCTCTCCCTATTCTCACCTTCATAAGTGTTGACTGACTCTAGGTTCATGACGTGCCGGATGATGTGGTACTCGTCAGCAATTCCGTTGCCTCCCAGCATGTCTCTGGCCTGTCTGGCAATGTCCAGAGCCTTCCCACAGCTATTTCTCTTAAGCATGGAGATCATCTCTGGAGATGCTCTAGAGAAAATATCATAGAATATGATACACATACAAAAGTCACCTTTTTAAAGGCAAAAATACTATTTCCCACATAACCTCGAAGGCCATTTTCCAGCAGAGCTTAGTCATTTCCCTACCCAAACACACCTAATAAACCTGATAACTAACAGATACATTAAATCAGCTATGACTTGGCCTGATGTCCTGGGACCCCAGCTATAGGCCATACTTGACAGAACATCCATCATGCTACATATTAAGCTAACCTGCATTTCATGTAACAATTCCAAAAATCTAAAGTCCTGCATCTGGCACAAATAAAAACAATGCATTTCAAAAGATAAATGGAGAAATTAAAACATTTGTATTTTAGATAGATCAACAAAGATAATAGGCCATTCTCTATAGTGATCAGATTTAATTGTTTAATTCTTTGTACTTGCAATTTACAGCAGGTTAAAAAACAAAATTCTGCTGCACATAATAAAGTAAGGTAATTAAATAAGCAAAACTAATTTACAGCCCTCTCCTGTCCCACTAAAGCAGTTCTGTTTTTCTGTAATTGAACACCATTGATCTAGTCACCTTAATACATATAGAGAGAAAATAGTTTAGATTTGCTGAATAGTCAGATGTGGCATACTTCTTTTGATCAATAAGCCTGCCCAACTGCAGGCAGGACTGCAGGCCGAGGGTGATCTCTGTCAGCATGTCAGCCATTTTCTTCTGCACTAGCTGGTTCCTGGCCAGTGGCACCCCAAACTGGATCCTGGTGTGAATAAAAGATGGAAGATAGAAGACTTGAGTACACAAAATAAACCCAGTGAAACAATCTGTCCTTCCGGTTGGACTTCTCTCCAGCATACATTTATACAAGTTTCTCATCCTTATACAAACTTGTCTCATCCTACTTCAAGCATTGCTTTATTTTGGCATACTTTGCTTGTGTGTCTGAAACTGAGCGCTGACTGATGTTTGGCCATAATGATTAACTTACAGTAGACTGCAGCAGTGGTCTTACCTGTCCAGTGTGTACTGACGAGCTGCGTGGAAGCAGAACTCTGCCGCTCCCAGTGCTCCCCAGGCAATCCCATAGCGAGCGTTATTCAAGCAGCCAAATGGGCCCTAAAGAACAGGACAAAATAATTTTATGCAATACAATAAAATAAATGTATGCAAATATTAGTTGTATTAATTCTGTGTTAGATGGTAAGATTGCAACTATTGCTATTATTTTATCTCAAGTTTGTGAAATCATTGAATCACAACAGTATAAAATGAAGCTGAGTTGAATCGCTGCCAAGCCAGGGACTCTCAACAGAATGATATTTAGACATGTCATTTGATAAGCTTGTGCTAATTCATGTTCAGAAGTCATGCTGTAAAGCCATGGTCACCGTGTCTCATGAGAGGCATTATGCACTACAAGCTTTGTATTATAACAGCTAATTTTTTAGGGTATTATAGTCTCAAATCAAACACTGATGTTCTGTACAAAACAGAACAAACAAAGTACTGTGCTGTACCTCATGTAAGTGTATCACACCTGAATCATCTCCATACAAATCATTTTAAAATAAATATTCACTTTAAACTTTTTGCTCCTGACGTGTGTCAGCTGTTTTGCTTTGTGTTGTTTGTGTGTTTTACTGTTTTGAACATGAACTGAATTAAAGCAGCCTCTGATTGCTACGTCCCTTCTTATGGCAGAAGGGAATGAATGGAACTTGAGCTTAAAAATTTTAACGTTTTTAAATGTAAAATTTTACAGTCATATTCAAATGTTTGGGCTCCCCAGTGAAATTACATATCTGTTCATTTACTGAAAATAAGGACATATTGCACATCAAAATGCTCAGTTGCTGTTTATTTGCTGAATATGACATACTAGTGGGGAAAAATAAAACTTCAAATTTGGCCTGTGCAAAAGTTATTGCACATTTTATATTTCATGTTTATTTTTTTTTTACAATATGTTAGACTCAGCAAATAAACAGAAATTATGCACTGATATTTGTAGGACGGTTCCATATTTAAGTGTGTTCCATGTAGAGGATGTGTTCAACAAAACATGTCATTTGAACTTGATATTCAAACATTTGCATACGGCTATACATCAAACTTATTGGCTTTATTCTACAGTGTTCACAGCAGACGTTTCTCACCGCCAGGCCAGACACATTGGGCAGCAGGTTCTCCTCTGGCACCTCCACATCATCCATGATGATCATGCCTGTGGAGGAAGCCCTCAGGGAGAACTTTCCCTCAATCTTGGGTGTGCTGAGACCCTTCATGCCCCGCTCCAGAATGAAGCCACGCACTTTACCATCATCACACTTGGCCCACACCACACAGATATCAGCCACAGGAGAGTTTGTAATCCTGACACGAGAGAACACATTACATAGTATAAACGACTTTCATAAAGGTAGACATGCAATATGTAATGATATTCTTTTGAGACAAATCCACTCCATGACTGGTTTTATTTTTAATAGATTTTTGATGGATCTTTAATACTCAGTTCTACTCAGACCACAGGAACAACAACAGCACTAGAAAGTTTAAAAATGGTGCCCTCAAGTGGGCAAATGGGCAAATGACAGAGACTGTTTCCTTGAAGTTAAGTTCATTGACCTTGAACAGTCCCAAATTGATCTGTGTGTTCACGGCATCAAATGCCATTTAATTCTTCTTTTAAGCATTATCTTCTTGTTAATTTTTGATTTTATACTACAAACATCTATCAGGTCTAACAAGGACATGTGACCAAGTTGTCTGTTTGGTATAATTTTATTTTTTGATACAAATTTCTAAATTACGTTTTTGGAATGTCAACTCAAAATAGGTGTTTAGGGTGATGTTGTTAACCCTCCTTGTCTGTAATATAGGTGGAATATACTATGTTGTAATGTGAGCCATTGTCTATTTTTAGGCAGCCTGAGTGCTGGAAGAAAAAAAGTCTGCAGTCCATATTGCTTTGACCTCTGCCTGCCTGCCTATCTAACCACACATAAGAAAATGAGCTTGGGAGTGGTTAACTTCAGAGACATGGGTTAACACCATTTCAACAATGTGGCAACAAGTGCCAGTTTACATAATGTGAAGATGAACAGAATGTTCTCAACATTTTGACAAGAATAACTATTGACAAGTACCATGTGAGTACGAATACAGTTAGTGTGTTAACAGAATTCTCCTATTTATTTAACAAAAAACAATTACGAGGAGAGTTTTGATACTGTGTGAATATGAATATAGTCTGTGTGTTAATAGAACACTCAGTAACTTGGCAACTCAGATTTTGAAAGGGAAATTTGACTATTTTTTCCTAATTTAAGTATAATTCAATTGTTGAGATGTAGACAGTCAAGTCTTTTGATGCACTGTACAGAAACTTACTAACTCAGATTTTCTTTACAGAGGTAGTGATAGGAACCAGGGGTTGCAGTGTTTACGATGCAAAAACAGCCATTTTAACTGCTATCCAAAACAACTAGCAAACCTACACTTTTTTTTTTATATTTAGAAATTTGATAGTGATAAAATAGTTCTAACCCTACAAACACTCTTTGGATACTATTTTACTTTACAATACACTGCACATACACCAATCAGGCATAACATTATGACCACCTCCTTCTTTCTACGCTCAGTGTCCATTTTATCACTCCACTTACTATATAGGTGCACTTTGTAGTTCTACAGTTACAGACTGTAGTACATCTGTTTCTCTGCGTACTTTGTTAGCTCCCTTTTACCCTGTTCTTCAGTGGTCAGGGCCCCCATGGACCCTCACAGAGCAGGTACTATTTGGTTGGTGGATCATTCTCAGCACTGCAGTAACACTGATGTGGTGGTGGTTTGTTAGTGTGTGTTGTGCTGGTCCGAGTGGATCAGACACAGCAGTGCTGCTGGAGTTTTTAAACACCTCAGTGTCACTGCTGGACTGAGAATAGTCCACCAACCAAAAATATCCAGCCAACAGCGTCCTGTGACCACTGATGAAGGACTAGAGGATGACCAACACAAACTGTGCAGCAGCAGATGAGCTATCGTCTCTGACTTTACATCTACAAGGTGGACTGACAGGTAGGAGTGTCTAACAGAGTGGACAGTGAGTGGACACAGTGTTTGAAAACAGTAATCTGTTAAAATTTTAAAGTCATGCAGTGCATGCCCAGCCTTAGTGATGGGTAAGCAGATGAGTTTTGGCAGCTGATGTGTATCTTGCTGCTGGTATGGGACAGAACTCACCAGGTTTTGGAGCCAGTGAGGGTGAAGGTGCGGCTGGACGAGTTGTACTTAGCTCTGGTCTCCATGCTGCCTGGGTCACTGCCGTGGTTGGGCTCAGTCAGGCCAAAACATCCCAGAAGCTCTCCCCGTGCTGTTGGGCACACAGTGGGTCAAATACGAAGTCACAAGTCTGGTAACCAAAAATCCTAGCAGCACAGGCTAATTTAATTTAGTCAATAGTTCAGCTAATTACCTACACCTTTAGTGAATTTAGTTACATTGTGTCTGTTGTAAGAAAACCTTGTATTTCTGAAACAGTAACATTATAGGAAAAAATGTTTTTAACATCTTTTATATAAGTTTAAAGCCCCTGTCAACATGGTTTCAAAACATGCACCATGGAAAAAGTGTTTACCAGTGTTATACTTAAGAAATATATATACTTTAATACAATTTAATAGTATATAAATGCGAATACATATTGCTAACTCGATTGGTACTTCGGCAGATCTTGATGTCGCTTGGGCCAAATTTAGTCTCACCCAATAAAAAATGTAAAAGATGAAAACAGCAGGAAAAAGTCATTTAAAAAAATCTCTCAACAGAAAAGACCAAGAGTATTCTTTCTCTGCCAGTTCATAGTAAAAGTACCATAAAACTATAGATAACAGAAGAAAATCATGGAAATGAATAGACAGGGGCTTTAAAAAAACTTTAAAGGTTTACTTTTCATTATTTCTATTAGTCTATGTGTCATGAAATGTTCACAGACTGTAAAGGCTGGAGTTTTCAAATTGTGAAAAAACAAAAGATGAGATGTTTTCTTATGACAGCATTGATGCATGCAGCTTTATTAAAAGGGACACTTTTATTCCATAACATGGCCTTATGTTAATGCAGTAGTTTTAGAAAAGAAAATGAGCTTCACAGAGGACACTTTTCTGAATAATGTGTGCTTCAACATCATCTTAGAATTTTAATTTTCCAGAATCTCTTGTGGACTATTAGAGAGTCTAAGAGGGAGATAAGTCAGTATTTAGAGTATTTGCAGTGTTACCCAGTCTGGGGAGGTATTTCTCCTTCTGTTGCTCTGTGCCATAAGCGTTGATAGGGTGCATGACCAGAGAGGACTGTACACTCATTACTGACCGATAACCACTGTCCACTCGCTCCACTTCACGTGCTATCAGCCCGTATGCCACATAACTTGTACCAGCACAGCCATAGCCTGCACCAGAGAGAGACAGAGAGAGAGAGAGAGAGAGAGAGAGAAGGAAAGAGAGAGTGAAGTCAGAATGTGCAGTGCTAACCATTTGTAACAGATGATAATATAATATAATGCAATACAACTGTAATAAAACTATTTCACCTAGCCAGGTTTAATGGTTCTGCACAGTCTTTAGAGGCTTCTGCCACTAAAAGAGCAAGTAAAACCCGCACATAGCATAAAGAGTAAACTTCTGGCAGACCTTTAGTCACAAATAAAGAGAACAGAGTCCATTTCTCTAACACCTGTGTCACGCTATCTTAAATCTAGGTCACTCAAACACATGCATTATGTTTCTCACATGTTTTTGGTTAGCAGTTAACATACCTTTAATGGTTGGGCCCAAAACACCCATCTCACCCATCTCATTCAGGATCTCACGGTGGAAAACTGTGAAACATAGTGACAGTCAATACAAAACACATGCAATACAAACAGGGCAACTGCAATTGTAATCAATATTATATATATTCTTTATTCACTTTCGTTTCTGTTGGCCATCAGGATGCGAGGCATGAGTTTTTCTTGGCAGTATGTTCGGAAGGAGTCTCGAATCATGATCTCCTCTTCCGTGAGCAATCCCTCCAGATCCAGAGCATCACGCCAGTTAAACTGCACTTTAGCTGAGAGGTTACATAGTGGAGCAAAAGGAGGTCATGACAGAAGCATAAAATAAAAATCTTCTGACAAGACCATTTACAGTAGAGTGTAAAAATCACTATTTGGCAATGTTTTAGCCTGATTGTCATGAAACTTTATTGTCTATTTCAGTCCTATAAAAAGACGCAAGACTCATCAAGAAACTAGCTAGTAAAATGTGCCCTGAAAACATCTGAGCTGTGCTGCCATAATAAAATATATCAAAAGTCAATACATCATTTCATATTTAAACTTGATCAAACATGCCTAAGCAAGGCCCTCACAGTCATCTGAATTTTAGAACGAAGTGTGTTAGACTAGGCTTTAGTGTCCAGAGAACAGAGATTATCATATAAATCTGCAAGTTCTTTTTGCAGCTGTTCACAACAAGGCCTGATTTCAATAACTTCTCTTAAAACTGCTCATTAGTAAAATCAGATTGTCTCACAATCAGAACAAAAACCTGTAGACCTGGTGGCTCTTCACCCATAAAGCACATTGTGCGTAAAAAATAAATGATAATCTGTCAACTTACGTGCTTTGACTTGCTTCTTCTCACCACCCTTCTCTGCTTCTGAAGAGGATAATATATGAAATGCAGAGAATCAAAATAAGCATTTATTAAAAATTATGATCTGACTACAATCTAAAGTGCAAAATACAGTTTTGCAAACACAAGTTATAAGAATTAGCGTTTAAGAGGAGCATTACAATGCTTGATTCAATAAAATAATAGATTTTGCAAAGAATATGATGATCCTGCATTTGGTTACAATTACAACAGATCATTATCAAATGCCCATTACTTAAAATGTAAATTAAATATCATAATAAAACAGTACAATATTAAAGAATGAAATAATACTAAATGAACGCGTCTCACCGCGCTGTACAGGTGCTGCAGTGCCCTGAGCTCTGAATGCTGCAGTGAAGGCACATCTCTGAGGCTTAAAGACGAGGCGACACACGGCGCTTCTTAAAGCCATGCTGAACTCAACGGAGCTCTGACACTGAAACACAGGCATGAGTGGAGAAATGACAACACATTGGACACTTTAGAAGTGAAATTACATCAAGTTCTTTACATTCTGTGGGCTGAGGGTCGGTCTGAACTACCCGGAGCTTAAAGAGTCCCTGAGGTGACACCTGCTAGCTAAGTTACAGTTACACACTGTGTTCGCTTAGCTAGCTTAGCTGGTGAGCTGAGCCCAGCAGCTCTTGCATAAGTTGCATAACAACACATAAAACACGGCACCAGTCAAACTCGGCGTTTTATCAGACTGACCGGAAGCCACACTAATAACCCGCCTGGACACTTTTCAGACAGTTAATTTAACACAGTTCTTAAAAAGACTTATATAGTCATACAGTGGTAGTATCAATCCAGCTAACGTTAGCTAGCATTGTATCACCGAATAAAGCGTAGCGCTATGCTATCTGTAAACAACATTCACTGATATATAACTTAACGTTTCTTGTTCAACGCAAATGTCTACATACACGTAGAGAAGCAGACTATATATTAATACACTGGCTAATTTATAATTGAATAAAATACATGCTCGACCTGCCTGGCGAAGCAGAAGCTTCTTATTCTCCAGCTTCTTTTTGTGATGTTCCCGTTTCAGCGCCGGACTGTAACTGCTGCATCATTTAAGGTGGACCGGGAAAATCCGAACAAGAAGCTGGAGAATATGAAGCCACTGCAGCCTCGCATTAGACTCCTGACCTATCAGCCAGCAAGTCACCCAGCCAAGCTAAGCGTAGCTGATAATAACTCCACTGCGCAGCAGCAGCGACACGATGACAGGCTTACAAAATTACAAAAGAAAGTTAACTCTCAGTTTTAAGGTTCAGATGTGACCTGTAAACGCATTTCAGTTACCTGATAAAAGAGACCCAGACAGTCCCGCTGCTGCAGACTTCACTCTGAAACTGACTGACGGCGTCAGCAGCTCAGTGACGTCAGGCCGGGTCACTCGGCCGGCTGAGGGCGCCATGTTGAGAGAGGCAGGTTTCCAGAAAAAAGGTTTAAAACTTTTTTTAAATACAAGATTGAGCAACATCGAGCAACTGTACATCATATTTTATTGCCCATATTGCAGCATGACATGTTACGCAGATCTGTTAATTTGTTCTGTAGATCTAAAGGTCTATTACGAAATGTGGGTCTGTAAAATATGCCCCACTGGTGATGTTTATACCTCCACTTCCTATTGGCTCTCTCAGAGGGGGCGGGGTTTGAGGGTGTGTTACAGACTGCCAATCCGCTGAAGGCTGTTCGTCACATAACGCTCGGCTATTTTCGGTTCGTTTCACAATCGGTTTGCAGCACCGATGTGTTTTCGGTTCAGCTGCAGGGCTCGAGCACTAATTCCTCATCGTTTCTGATGATAGTGCGGTTTTGACGCGGCCTTGAATTTTGACTAAACTTTGTGTTTTCAGGTTGGACATGTCAGCACTACCACTGGCCACATGAGTTAAGCTTTTTAATATTTTTAATTTTTAATATTTAATCTTTTTAGGTGGTATAGACCCCATCATTTCTATACACTTCATTAAAAACGTAAAGAGAAATTATACTTAAGTGAAAGTAATTTGCCAAAATTTAACTCAATTAAAAGAGGAAGTATGGAGCCGGAAATATATGTGAGTGAAGGTCAAAAAGATTTAACAATAAATTAAAAGTTGTCTTTGTTTTGTGGTCTGTGGTGCAGTGTCTAATCACTACTTGCACTAGTTCTAGTGCAAGTTAAAAATAGTTGTGTGCAGCTTAATTTTACACTGATATGAATATGGATGTTTTAATATATATATATATATATATATATATATATATGTGTGTGTGTGTGTGTGTGTGTGTGTGTGTGTGTGTGTGTGTGTGTGTGTAGGAAAAAGTGAAAAATCTGGATTTTGAAATTTGTGTATGAAATATGTATAAAAGTACAAATCTTACAAAATAAACTAAAGCATAAGTGCAATTACTAAACTACTTTCCACCCCTGGATAGGGCTGATATCTATGTGTTTATGTGAGCTATGTGATTTCGTTTACATTGAATAAAGACCTATTCAAGCAGGATTAGTATTACTTGGGGAATCGCTGAAAATTAGTGATTACCAACAAGCTCCGGGATTTTAATCCAGTACGAATTTGCTAAGCAACAAGTCTGGAGTGAATTACCTCCTAATTTGCCAAACTCAGATTTCCTGCAGTAGTCCTGCTTGAATCAGTATCTCAGTAATGTAATAACAAACCAGGTGATAGAAACCAACAAGGCTGAAGGTCGCCAGATTTTTCAGCTTCACCTTAAATGATGCAACAGTTACTGCAGCAGTTTCAGCTAAATTGGAGCTCAATTTGAACCCTAATGCTCATCGAGGTGAAATATCTCAAAAGTACCTCTTGCAAGGCAGTGCATTTTCTGGCTTGTTGGGCAGCATTTGGTAAGTTGAATGAACCCACTTTACTAGCCCAGTGCTAATCTGTATGCCAGTGGGCCACACACTGTGTTGTCATTGTTTGGAAGTGGACCTATTATGCTAATTGTATTCATAGTTTTATTTTTGGAGTCTATTAGAATAGATTTACATGCTTCAATGTTCCAAAACCACATTTTTTTCATACTGTACATTCATAATGTATTCACCCTCTGTCTTGAATGCTCTGTTAGAGCTCCTGTGTCTTTAAGCCCCGCCTCCCAATGAACCCAGTGTGCTCTGATTGGTCAGCTCACTCACTCTGTTCTGATTGGTCTACCCCCAGAGTGACATCCTGCTATAAGTTCTGCCCCCACAGAGCTGTGGATGTTCTTACAATGGTTCTGTCAATTTGAGTCCATTCCTGAAAGTCAGGTAGAACAAGTTGGTAGACCTGATCTACCTTCACTAGCTAGACTGGAGCAGGATGTTTCAGGGTGGTAAATTATTTTTTTAGCTCTCAGTGGGTGTTGCCCGTACATAGTCTTACACTCTGCAAGCAATAAAGCAAATACATTGAATTAATACAATTTCCATAACAACTGTCTACAATGTATTGTAATAAGACAAAAGGTAAAACTAAAATAAGCATAACTCTCCATACTCTGCTCTGAAATTGTGTAAATTAACATGATGTTGCAATGTTATTAGAAACATGACATCAGGTATCAGCACAGTGTGCAAAACATTCTATTCTAAGTATTACCAACAATTAACTTCCATTTTGGATTGATATGAAAGAAAAACTAAGTATAATGCATTCAAAATGCTTCTATACAATTGCTCAGTGATTAGAACAGAAAAAGGTGATGGTAATGGTACTGTCCAAAAAACAAAAACAAAATGGTGGAACCAAGGCTGCACTCTAAAAAGTGGCTCATCAGATCTACCTAAAAATTACTTCATGTGGTAACATGAAGTACATTAACTAGTTTTATTCAACCTAAATAAATAATTTGAATGAATGATTCTTTCAATCAATATAGTTTTTAAATTGAATAAAACTAGTTCAATTGCTTTTTACCACATGAAGTAAATTTTTTAAGTAGATCTGACGAGCCACTTTTACAGTGTGGTGAACTGACAAATGAGACAACTGCACTGTTAGAAATAAATGTTCTGTGCAGGTACATTTTTTTATTCATCAAGGTACAAACAATGTAAATGTTCCCTCAAAGGTACAGCAGTGGTTTTAAGGTCCAATTGTGAAAGTTTCTTTCCCAGGGGAAAAGTACATATATGTTTTAAAACAGAACAATAAAATAAAAAGCCTAGAGACGAGACAGGATTTGTAGAGTAAATACAGCTTAAAAATATAATGTCAGTGGATTATGGTACAATTATGTTCCCTGACTAAAGGTACTGAGATGCACCAGGGAACCACCCTAGTAACATGAGGGGTACTGCTACTGCCTCAGTGACAGTTTAGTCCCTTAATTTCTGAGAGTGTAACATTTTACACACCGGCTGTAAAAAATCTCACTGATTAACAAAAAACAAATGCATTCATTAACAAAAAAAGAGTTAAACAAAATCTACAAAACAGTTGACACTAATTTTCATGCAATACCAAAAAAGAAAGGAGAAAAGCGTCTACATATTCTCATTCAGCAAAGAGAGAGACATAAATGGATATATGACATAGTTATAATACACAATGCCTCAGGAATGCCAGTGAGACTGCTTTACTCAGCCAATGAGTTGATCAGCTTGCCAGCCAATCAGCACTCAGTAGCAGTAACGCTAGTGTCCTACTGCACAAAACCTGTTTGCTGTAGAAAACTGAAAAATACTGATAAGTTTTCTTTGATTTTTTTAATGAAGTACATCCTTCCACTTTTCAAAATTAAAGGAAGGTCCAAATGGTTAGAAACATGTTTAATTTTTCATTTTTAGTCATTTAGCACCATTCACCCCCATTCATTGAGGACTCGCTCATGAGCGCGCTTTGGTGTTTTGCAGTCATTTTGTTGATGTAACGGGACAGACTCCTCCTAAACTGGCTCTGGTACGGTTCTTTTAGCTTAACCTCAGGAACCATTGCTTTCTGTACTGGCTTAAAAGAATCTTTTAGATAAGCAATACTAAATGGATGAATAAACAATTCAAATCTATTTTGTTATTTTAAAATGTTAAACAGTGAAGTGTTTGATGGTGGCTAAAATGATTGTAATTGAGTTTCATATTGAATATCAGTAATTCATAAAAAAACAGGGTAAGATCATCTTCTCATTTGATATCCTCAACCTCTCCAACCCATCTCCTTCGCCAGCTTGTGTGCGCTAATAAAGAAGTCCTGGAACAGATCTTTAAACCTGTTGTTCTGATAAAAAACGTCTTTTCTGTGAATTAAAGTAACAGACAAGTGTTACAGTTTTACAGTTAGCAATCAGTTATTCCTTAACCATAATGAATGTATTCATTACAAATTAAAAAAAAGAAAAGAGAATATTTTCAAAGATGTTAGACTTACTTGTGCACCAGTAAGTTACGCAGATAACGCATCAGGCCAAGTAAATCATCTTTAAAGCTTTTGTCAGGAAGTCGTACCCCTTCTTCCTGTTTAACAACTTCGGTAATCTGTAAATACATACTGCATATATGTTCCGGAAATCTCTTACATCTTTCTCACAACAGTGGTGCTCAGCTGAGAAGTGTAACGTACAAAGAGAGCCTGTTCTCTCGTCTACCATCAACATCCACACCAACAGCATTTTGAAAGTGCTCATAAGGGCACAATGTTTCACACCAAATGCCTTGAGAAAAACACTGTGTGGTGTCCAGAGGACCTGACAGTGTGTTGGAAATGCAACAACACAGTGGCTATGGCAGTGACCTAAACACTATTTCATGTGTGGGAGGCCCAAACACAGAGAAAAAAAATGTTTTCAATATGCAAAACACCCCAATTCAAATAACACGTTTTGTTGATTTTCTAAGTGCAAATATGATAACACATCTTCTACAGAGAACATACTTGAATATGGTATTTTCTGCTAATTGTTTTACATATTTAACATTTTTTGTTGAGTTTAATATTTCCAAAAAAAAATCATGAAATATAAAATGTGCCATAAGTTACTCTTACATTTGCCACCATGATGTTTAACATCCATAACTGTGTCCCATTTCAGGGACTGCATCCCTCGAAGGATGCGGTCTACGAAGGCGTGTCCTTCGAAGGCTACATAGACATGTGAAGGCTGAACTTAAATGAGACGGTCTGCTCTATGGCGGATTTCCTGTTTGCGTCACAGCACTGCTTTTCCTGGCCTTAAGTTCTTTGAGATGGAGCTAGAAACTTTGATTTGATTTGATTTTTTTCATTTTTTCATTTATTAGAGCCAGGGATGCTTCACTGCCGGCACCTGCACGTTGGCATAGGTTTTGCTTCAGACATTTATTGGCGGCATATGAAAGAGCCTTAGAAATGGGACAGCCTAGTCGCGCCGCTGTGACGCAATCAGCCTTCAAATGCAGCCTCCAAAGGATGCAGCCCCTGAATTGGGACAGAGCTTATGTGTATCACCATCAAAGCAATAATAATTAACATTACTAATATCTGCTTCTTTGTGATGACTTTGTCAGTTTGAATGTAACCAATCAGGTCGCTACTACAGTACATTTCACACTCCATGTGTCAAAATCTTAATATAACAGCAAATATCTTTGGTGTTATATTATTGCCCTGCCATTATTGGCAGCAGCTCATGCTGCAGGGACTATATGGCCGTTTGTAAAGTGTTAAATAGGTAGATTATACAGACAGTACAGCACTGACGTGCACTCAGAAATCATATTCGGACCTAAATGTGTTCCCACCAGCTGTGGACTCAAGTAGGGTTCACTAGAAGCGGACCGAGACCCATAATTTTTGTCGGAAATGGGTCAGTTCTGTGGTTCTGTTTACACATCAAAACTGAACTAAAGAAAAAGTTTATTAGTTCCACACCAAACAAAGTACATGTGATAGCACCTGTGGTTTAGCAAAGTAGCAATAAAAAATGCTCAAAATGACATTTAGTGTCAAACTGACTTTTAATTTTCAAACTAACATAGTGTAGTAACATAAACTGTGACTGAGTGCATTAGTTCATGTATTGCAGTAAAACATTTTTACTAGATTATTGAGCTGCAGCTCCTCTCTCTGAACATGAAGTTCCTGCCTGCCAGCTGAAATAGAGATTGTGATTGGTCCTTATTTGAGTTTCTTTCAGTTTTGTCTCTATAGGTTAGCATTCTGTAAGTGCAAGTGTCCTGAACTCAATCAGAAATTGGTGGGGCGTCATCCCAGTACTCTGAAAAGTGGTGGGTCAAATGCCCCCGTGGTTCCAGCAGCCCTGCCTGAGACATTGTATTATGATAATTTTATTATAAGCTGTTGGCCTGAGACATATTTTTACGCCTCTGAATGTGGTGGAGCAAAACAGATTGTTTAAAAATCATCTGGCTGATACAACTGCCTTTCATGTCATGCTATTGACGTCTTTAAAAACCTATACAGGGGTGGGTAATAACAAGTTACATTTACTCAAGTACATGTACTTCAGTAAAGTACTGATGGGTTTTTACTCCTGAGTATTTTCAAATCATATTACTTCTACTAAAGTGAGTAAAGAACTCTTTTACTCCATTACATTTTAGTCATTCGTTTTTAGATTTGATGGTGGCAATATTTGTACTGCTTTACGATTAGTTACATCTCTGACTTTGGAGCTTCTGTATTTTAGACCAAAAGAATCCCAAAAAGAGAAGAACAGAGCTGCACAACCTTCAGTTCCTATGCTGATAAATGCTGGATGTAGTAGGAAGTTCCACTGCAGGACTCAGGACAAGTAGATTTTCAACCTGCTACTTTTGTATTTATACTCTGGTTATTTTAGGGAAGGCACTTTTATTTGTCTGATTATTTTATGCAAGTATCAATACTTTTACTTGAATATTGATTTACCCTCTTCTACCCTCTGAACCTGATCATGAACAGTGTCAGTGTTTGTTTTGATGCTGCCTCAGTAGGTACAGCCTCAGATAGCGGTATTTGCTGGCTAACATCAGGCTATTTTCATACCCAGTTCATTTTCAAGTCTGCACCACAGTGTGGTATTATATCTCTTTCCTTTGGTTTGGATGGTGGACTGCAAGGGCTAAAGTGGACTAAATTACACAGATGGTGTTTGTTTATTGTTCAGTAAGTTTTACAGGAATGCAAGCACTCTGTTACTCTCACATTCATCACCCTGACAACCAAACTACAGAAAATAGAAACGTTTATCATCTTTGTTTATACTACTATTTTATCTCTCGTCATTACAGCAGCTCACAATACTGGAAGGAAATGAGCGTTTGTAAAGAGTGAAATGTTAAAGCAGCTGATTGTGCAGACAGTACAGTGAAAATGTGCACTGGAAGAAAAACATGCTTTGGTGTTGAATTCTCTCATTAATTAGCATGGTTTTAGTTGTTTGGTTAGGATATGAATTCGGGTGGAGTCACAGGTCAAAACTGAACTAAAGAAAAAGTTGGACAGGTTGGACGCACCATCCAAGGCAGGTCTCAAAGCGCCTCCTAGCTGAAATAGAGATTCTGATTGGCTCTGCTGCTCAGTTTTACTCTGTCTGTTCCTGCTGGTCAGTGCTTCATGCAGTTTAGAGAAAACTGAGGTTTTTATGTGTGTCCTGAACTCGAAAAGTGGTGGGGCGTCGCTCACCACTGAGGCTCACCACTGAAGCTTCAGATTTACCAGTATTTCACTGGTATTGGTATTACATATAAAAATTAGGTTCTCTGGTGGTTTTTGATCATAAATAAAATGGCTATGCTTGTGTTGTAGACATTGTGGCCCCTGATTCTTATGACCACGACTATGAAGAAATTCAGTGTCTCTCCAATGAGCCATTTTATATCAAACCACTCTGAATGAGTGTTTGCATCGTAATGATTGAATAATGCAGAATTTTTTAGCATAATTACTCCTTAACTCACCTTAGGTTTCCAATCAGAGAAGGTTGTGTATTTATCCACAGCATTGCGAAGCTTAACACTCACGCTTTTGCGCTTGTTCTGGACATCTTCCTCATCTCCAACTTTGTTCAAAAATGTATCTCTCCTAGAAAACAACAACAAAGACATCACCTCCTGCAAATAATACAAAGCTATAACCAGTCACTGATTTACGAGAACATTAGGTTACGTCCAGAGCCAGGTGGAGTAGAATAAACCCATACTCAAGCAAAAGTATTGTTACATTGGTAAATGGTAAGTAAAAGCAAAAGTAACTTTTCAAAAACAGCTTAAGTAGCAGACACGCAAAAGTAGCAGCTCAACTCTGAACTTTAATTTTCTCCCTGAAGTCCACTTACAACATTTGTGTGGCCATAAATCATTTTTACATGACCAAATTCCAACCTCTTTTATCCCGGAATTACTCAGGCTTTTTTTGCTATCGGCCTTTAAGACCAATATATGTAAATGAGTTCTGTTCTGATTGGCTGCTTTGTATTGTGCCTCATTCAATCTTGAATTCTGAGCTGAAACACTGCTGGGAAATTAGCAAGAGCGGCACTGTTCACCAGAAAAAGTCCTGTAATCAGAGGATTTGAGTGAATATTGAAAGTCAAAATATGTTTTAAGTTTAAAAGATATGGTACTATTAGCCAACATGCTATAGCAGTGAGCCTTCTCCTTTTTTACACCAACACTGACAGATGATTAAAATTATTATACACACTGTTTTGAAATCAGAGCTTACCCTGTACTGTTATAAATGTCTTGTGTGTATTATGTGTTTTAGAGCCTTTGCAGTGGAGCAGAAGTTGGAGGGGAAGATTTTATCCCATTCATATGAAGTGGGACAACATTCAGAGTAGGCTGCTCTGTTATAAACACTGCATGCATGTCAATGTCAGTGGAAATGTTATTTTCATCATGTCCATTATTTTCCTTGCATTGTGGTAGTAGTTTAGTAGGAGCTTGTGTCTCTGCTTTAAATAACCTAAAAACGGCACACTGAACCTTCAACACCTTCAGGTCTGATATAAGCAGTGAGGAGAAGCTCACCTCCTGATGACCTTTCAAGCTCTGTTCCCAAAAAGGAAAGGAAAGTGGAAAGTGAAAGTCGAATGTCTGCAGAGCCAGAACCAGAGAAAGTCTCACAGAGGAAGCTGAAGATCAGAGTCAAAAGCACAGGACAGAGTCAGGACAGGCTAATAGTCCAGCTACCCAAGTTGCGTTGAGTCACTTGACAGAGATAGAGACCGTTTTACTGCAAACTCACATCAAAGACAGTTTAGGTCAATATGCGGGGTCCAAGCATCAATCAAAGAGATCTAATAACCAGCTGGGGCCTCTTTACAGACAGAATACAAACAATAGTGAGTCAGACTTCATTAGATGTCCTTTATATGTCATAGTTATTGATCAGGTGCTTTCAGTGATGATATTTTTTCAAGTTTTGTATAGACCAGGGGTCGGCAACAGAAAAAGATTTTTATGTAAAAATAAAATAATGCTTCTTTGCCATAACATAAAGCTCTTCTGTTCACAGTTTTAACAATAAATGGTCCTAAACCCTTAAACCCTGAGGGTTGGCGTGCAGACTGCTGATCACTGCAGCAACGCAGTCAACAGTCTTGCCTGGCTAGTAGCAAACAGAAAGACTTAAGATGAACAATGATAATTTGGAGATGAATGGAATTATTTGCAATTATAATCACTCCAGCTGGTTTCCTGATATGTTTAATCTGCAACAAGAAACTGTCAAACACAAAAAATTTGCAAAGCCGATGTCAGCTTCTCGCTTGCCAGCTTTTTGTTAGAATTTTTCCCGTTGCACCCTAAATGGTGCAATGATTAGCTACTTATTTAGCTACATTCTTAGGCACCACTTAAGATAGAACAGGACATTTCAAACAAGAAGTCTGCCGAATGTGAAGCTGACTTTGGCTTCATAAGTCGAACGTTAGGAGACATTTTACAAGAATCTATTGTAGTTTTGCGGAAAAGTTTCCTGCCGGAGATGCAAAAAAAACAGCTATAGCTGTGTTAAAGCTTAAAGCAGAGCAAAGTAAGTCTGCATTTTCATTTATATTATATTTGTTAGCCTATACTAAGACATTAGCACGTACTGAGACAATTTACAACCAAGATGGTAAAATGAACATAAAATGTTGTGGCTCCCAAGGTGGTTAGATTTTTGTAAAAACTTGTCAAAATGGCTCTTCTTAACATTTAGGTTGCTGACCCCTGGTATAGACTGAACCTTTGACATTGGTATTCTAAGCTAAATTTTGAACAAATAAGTGAAAATGCTAGTCCAATTTGTAACATAACTTGCAATTGAAAAGTTTTTCAGCTACAAGAACTGAATCACATGATACCTGCTATTCATCTGTAGGAAAAAGAAAATAATGGCAGTTGGATTTTTCTCATTGTACAATGCAGCACCACCTTAAGGCCAATCTGGATCAAATTTTGTATGCATCACCTGAATGTCTCAAGGGTTTGACATTTTGAGCCTTTTTCACTTGAAAACAACAAAAAAGTAATTTTTTTAATTGGCATTTCAACAATATAATTTGATCTATAAAAACAATTATATAGAGCTGATCCATAAAAGCAGTGAGCAAACCCTAACTTAATAATTTTAACTTTCATTAAACTAGTAGAATATTTGTGTTAAAGCTTTCCTTTTGCTCCTACCTTTCATCATCCCAGAAATAAGGATGCTGTACGGCCTCTTTAATCGTCAGTCTCTGTTGTGGATCTTTTGGAATCATCCCTTTGATCAGATCCTCTGCTTCCACATCTGTTATTCTTTACAGAGAGTACTTCCCATCCATAACGTTTACTTCTACACGATTACCTCTCCCAAAGGGATGATGCCCATCTGAGAGAATGTAATGCACCAACATTCCAGCCACCTGCAGCCACAAAACAGATTTTCTCTCTTACTCTTTTACTTAGACCATACATCTCCCACATTACTGCAACACCCTGTACTAAGTATCAAAGTATACAATTTATTTTCAGTGAGAAATTTTAAATACTAGTTTCATGATACATCATAGTCATCTCTAAGACCGGAACGTACAATCTATTATAATTATTTATTTTTATATTGGTTTAAACCAATGTTGGTGTTTGTTGCAGAATGTTTGGTCAGAGTGCTCTGGCCTTTTGAGGTTAAATATTAGCCTGCTTCACTTGAAAAACTGTGAACTTCTGTCTTTGATAGTCTTGAGATAAAGCACAGGTCTGTCTCAGGGTGGCGCTGCAGCAAATGGTTGCAAGATTTCATCCTACTCCTGCCCGCTCCCTCAGAGAATCAGAATCATTTCTCCAGCTCCTGCCCGCAACCGAAGCGATTTGTCCCGCTTCCGCCCATGCAGTTCCATCCAGGTAGACTGAAATCCAGTATCTGACACAGTCTATTCACAAATACATTCTCCTCTGCTGTAATAATGTAATAACATGGCAGTCATGGTCATGAGGCTCTCTGTGAAGTAACTTCACCAAACGGCATTTCTTTGCAGTAAACACCAAGCAGGAATTAAACCACAGAGCAGTTGGGCAGCTGTGGCCGTCGGACCGAAGGCTCTGTTATCTCTTTAAAGCCTGGTTTACACATGCTGCCTCTGCGTGGTGTGAGTGAAGCGTTCAGTACAGCTGGAAGGCGCTGACCTTTCATACATACAGCATTTGTGACCATTTATCCATCTGTTTCCAGAAGGATAAATGGTCACATCAGTCTCTCTGCTCAACAAAACAGAATTTATAAATGTACACAGTATATTTGTTTAGCCTGGACAGTATTCTGTGTCAAAAATTTGAATTATGAGAATTTGCATGTTGTTTGCGTGATCAATTGCTCGAGAATGACTTCATTCATTTGAACTGTTTTACTGTTATTTAGTTTATATTGTTCACATATATGATTTAATGATCGCTCTACTTTATTTAGGCTGTTCATTAATTTGCAGGATTTCTCTATATGCATGCTTCCGCCCATTCCTGCCTGAAAGGGGTCTGATTTCCCGCCTGCTTCCGCGCACAGCACTGAAAATTAGTCCTGCACCACAAGATATTGTGGAGGGTCCCGTGGGTCCCAAAGGAGTCCGCGGTAGTGCAGACCTCTACTTCATAGCCTAGCAAAGGTAACTATGCCCCAGATACCTCTAAAAAACTTTACAATATGCCTCAGCATAGTTCAACATCTGAAAACCCAATTTCCCGAGAGTTTAGTGGGAAGAGTGAATAATTACTTATTTCTCAAAATGAATACAGGACAGGAGATGCGTTAGATTATTCGGTGTGGAAGACCACATTACCAAACTAGAAAAGAATTGTTAAACCAAATATTTTGCTGATACTGAAGTTATCGTCAGTGCTGCTATGGCGAGTGAGTTAGCAGTCAGTCATGGGACCCCCTGAATACCAGGGGGTATTTCCCTCACTGATTACACATTCTATAAATTGTAATGCATGGAAAGTGACAAACCTGTATATCAGAGCTTCTTTTATATCTGCACTTCTCTTCATCTTCGTTTTCCAGTATCTCTGCCGCTTCCCATCCTCGAGTACCAGCTCTTGAAGTGCACTTGGTGCTTTCACCTCTGTTTAGTCTGCGGCTTATGCCAAAGTCACCCAGCCTTGCATTTCCTTTCACATCTGTCAAATGTTTGAAAGGTTAATTTATTTATGTTGTATAATATCAAAATGGTATTACAAAAAACAGACCTGTGTATAAACCAGGGGTGGGCAACACACAGCTCTTTTCCTGCCCTGTTGTGGCTCCGCAGCCGAATTAGATTTTTAGGTAAAAATAAAATAATCCTCCTTTGCAGTAAAATAAAGGTCTGATGATCATCCTAACACAGTTTTAACAATAAATGATCTTGAACTCTGGAATTAAGGTAGCCTTTAACTGCTAATTCACCCTTTAACCCTGAAGTTTGGCGCGCAGACTGCTGGTCACATAGCAACGCAGATAACAGTCTTGCCTAGCTAGTAGCTAACGAAAGGGCAAAGAGGAAGATCTAAGACAAACATCGATAATTTGGAGACGAATAGACTTATTTGCACTTATATTCACTCATCTGGTTTCCTGATCCTTCCTAATCTGCAACGAAAAAAACTGACAAATGCTAAAAAGTCACAAAGCTAATGGTGCTTCTCGTTCACCATCTTCTCGTTAGAATTTTCCCGTTACACCTTAAAAGGTGCAGCAGTTACATTCCAGAGCCTCAGGCACCATTTAAGGTGGAACGGGGAAATTCGAACAAGAAGCTGGCGAATGAGAAGCGACTTCAGCCTCGTAAAAAGTCGAACGTTGAGAGACATTTTACAAGAAACGTAAAGGTTTATCGCCAGAGATCCGAGAGAAGCAGCTATAGCTGAGCTAAAGCTTAAAGCAGAACAAAGTCTGCATTTTCATTTATATTATTTTTGTAGTCTATCCTAGCACATTAGCACATACCGAGACATATGTACAGTCAATACAGTAAAATGGACATAAAATGTTGTGGCTCCCAAGGTGGTTTGATTTTTCTTGAAAGGTCAAAATGACTCTTCTTAACATTTGGGTTGCCGACGCCTGGTATAAACCAACTGGAGTACAATGGCTAGATTAAAACAAAACTTTTCAATAATTTTTAAAGACAGTGTGCAATAAACTTCACAGTGTTTTATAACAGAGAAAAGGGAGCCCAGCTTTTTTCTGTTCTAAAATGTATGTAATCATAATATAAGTGGGTCTCACAATTTGGATATTCCACTATATTCCCCTACAGATGATCTTCAGATGTTCAAATTGTTAACAAACTATCTGTTGAAACTCAGTTGATTCTAAACAGTGATGGGGTTAGGGTTAGGATTTGGACCAGGGTTAGGGCTAGGACCAGGGTGAGGGCTGGGTTTAGGTTTTGGGTTGAGGTTAAGCTTTAGGTTAGGTTAGAGCAGGTTTAGAGTTAAAGAAAATGATGGTCAGTTCAGTAGATATTTATTTGAATTTAACTTGAAAGTAAATTAAGTATCTACAAAGCATCCAAAATGACTATCCAAACAAAGTGTTACCTATAAATGTCATTCATTTGTAAGACTGTATATTGTTAATTGTCGAGTAATCGAGTGCTTGTTTTTTGTGTTCAAGCTGGACCAAACTGACCAAACGGTCAAAACTGGACCGCAAAGTTACTCAAAATGCTCATCCTCGTGTGGTCCGACTGAAAGGAAAGGAATCTCATTAAGTATAAATATAAATGCAATACCTAGGAGAACATTGCTGGGTTTTATATCTCGGTGGAGCACATCAGCCTCATGGAGAACTTGTAACCCAAGGAGCACATCCCTTGCCAATTTCTTTAAAGTCTTCATTCTGTCCTCTTCTCCTTGTTGATGAAGCTGCTCCATGTATTCATCCAAATTACCTTCACAGAGCTGGAGAGCGAGGTAATTAAACTCTCCTTCTTCTTCGATATCTACATATCTGACAATGTAGCTGCTCTCAAGGTTTATGTCTCGTAAAAGTGACATCTCATTCTTTAGTTCTTCATTTTTGGCCTTGATCATTCGCTTAATGGCTACTTCAGTGCCATCTGCTTTCATTCCAACATATACTTGGGTACCGTCAGCTCCATTTCCTATTCTGTACTTCTCCTTCGTGGACAGGAAAAGCTTTCCAATGCTCTTCAGATCAGGATCCTCAAGGAGAAGCTTTAACTGCTCCTGCCTTTTCACACTAGTTTTATACCATCTTTCTTGAAGTTTTTTTTTATCCTCTGCATGTGTGTTTCCCCTAGTAAGCAAGCAAGCAAGTAAATGTTTTATCTATGTAGCACTTTTAAAACAACCAGCACTGAGCTAAAAGCTCTGCAGCTTTAAAACGTGTCACATGCAAATAAAGCAAAATTGATCGACTAAACCAATTAATTATGATTTGCCAATGCATTCATGTGCTTCTATATGCTAATAAAGTGCGCAAGTTAGACTTAAAAAGAGGCACAAAAAAGATACCTACCTGGTAGGTTCACTGATCATAAGTCTTTGAATCTTTGAGTAATCTGCAGTATCAAAAGTGTGAGGTCTTTTAAGTGAGTCACCTGTGAGTAACGTTGGAGATCAAAGAGACAGAAGAGTAAGAACAGCGCCACACATTACAATTGTAAAATGGAAAAATTGGTATTTTGAGAATCTGAGAGAAAATCACAAACATCATAAACATCATAGCATTATAAAATAGGTACAATATGTAGGCTCACTACTAGATAATTAGTCATCACATGTTAACATGCCGTTAAATATTTCTCTCCTGTAACTGTTCATTACTTTTAAAATACACTTGTGTAGTTTGTAGGCTAGGTATATGCTTTGTAGAGGTGAGAGAGGAAAATTTATACAGAATAACATCAGGATATTTTGAGTCAGACAATGAATAATGCAATCTGGGCATGGAAAAAGATAGAGCTATAGTTTATAACTGTTTGTGAGAAAAAAGACTGTGACACTTTTGGCTGTGGATTTTTGTCAACGCATAATGTGTGTTAGGGAGCCAAGTGTGCGCCAAGAATACACTCCCCACACCATTACACCACCCCCACCAGCTTGAACTGTTGACACAAGGCAGGTTGAGTCCATGGATTCATGCTGTTTATGCCGAATTCTAACCCTACCATCTGCATGTCACAGTAGAAATCGAGATGCATCAGAGCAAGTGACATTTTCCCCACGTTCATCTGCCTATTTTTTCACCATTCTTATGTTTGATGTGAACAATAACTGAAGCACTTGATCTTAACTTGTCTGCTGCTACACGACTGGCTGATTGGATAGATGCATAATTGCATAAAAATCACTGACTAAAAAAAATACATTTCTAATGAGTGCACATTCCAGAGTGAGGAGAACAACACTGTGCTTGTTTCTATTTATGACACAAATGAAGTTCCAGTTGTGCCCAAAAGAAATGCATAAGATCCCTTAAAACCTTACAGAGTCTATAATGGCTCCAAATAAGTAGTGACAAGCACAGGAGTAAACTATAAAATATAGGATTGTAGTTGAATTTCATGCTGAATGTCAGTAGTTCATAAAAACCCACAGTAAGAGCATCTTCTTATGGGGTATCCTCAAGCTTCCAATCCATCTCCTTCGCCAGCTTGTGCGCGCTAATGAAGAAGTCTGGGAACAAATCTTTAAACATCTTGTTCTCATGAAATACGTCTTTGCTGTGGAATAAAGTAACAGACAAATGAGTCATAGTTGATGATATGAATAAAGAAAAACAGAGAATATTTCTAAGGATGTCAAACTTACTTGTCCACCAGCAAGTCACACAGAAAACACAGCAAGCCAAGTAAGTCATCTGGAAGTCTTTGGTCAATAGATAATTCTTGGGGAACCTGCAAATGCACATTGCTTGTGTTTACCGAAGTGGACTCAACAAATTAAAATTCACCTTAGTATTTTCACTGGTTAGAAATCAGTTACAATAACAGCTGAATTAACCACCAGTGATTACAAAATACAAACGTGTGTAACTAACATTGCAGAAACCAACATTACAGAAAAGTGTAAAGATATTCAGTGTCTTTATCTATTAAATAAAAAAGTATGAAAGTTCAGGTTTATGTATTTTGACAATGCTAACTGTTGTACTGTAATAAACGTAATACTGTAATATGATGAAGGCCAACTGATAAAATTAGATGCTAAGCAACTTTAAAAACTGTGTCAGAAAATCATACAGTAGTCTACCACGGTGAGTGAAGCTATGATAAACTATTGAAAAAGACACCTATGGTTACAGAAAAAGACCCCTGGCTGTAGCCCAACAGCCAGACCCTAAACACACCCCTGGGCTAGCTTCAGTTCTAGAGAGAGAGAGATGTATGATATCAACATATACAATATGTCATATATAGACAGCTAAAAAATCATGCACTATTTGTAAATCACCTGGTAGCCTATGTAGATTTTTACATAGAAAGTAGATTGTGTGCCTATACAAAACAGATGGTATACCTATCACCTGGCAGTACGATTCAAATCCCATAACCTGAGCATGAAAGTTAGGCCACTCTCAAAAATGTACAAACAAAAGGGATGGTCAGTTTAGACTGCTGCTCTGCATGCACATCTTTCCTCATGGAAATATTCTCATTTATTTTAAATGGGCATTCTTAACTCACCTTAGATTTCCATCCATAAAAGGTTTTTCCTTCAGTGTATTTAGCCACAGCATTCCGAAGCTTCTCATCTGCACTGCTAAACTTCTGAACAGCTTTCTCAGCTCTGACTTTCCTCAGAAATGTATCTCTCCTAAAGAAGAAAAACTGTAAGATACCACTTTATGCAACTATTCCAAGATCATAACCACATCCTTAAAGATCCTTAAAGTCCTGTAAGTTACGAGGTGGAGCCGCTGCGGATCAGACTCCTTGTTATAGCACATGCTGGATCAGATTGAAATTTGGAGAATTTGGAGGCAAGGGCAACAACCTGAGCTCTTCATCATGTTCCTCAGACCACTCCTGAACAATATGTGCAGCATGGCAGGATGCATTATCCAGCCAAATGAGGCCACTGCCATCTAGGAATATCATTGCAGTGAAGGGGAGTACCTGGTCTGCAATGATGCTTAGATAGATGGCACATGTTAAACTGAAGTCCACATGAATACCTGGACCCATGGTTTCACGCTTTCACCCTGAATCTTGGTATGATCAGTTCTTGGTGGCACATTCCTCTTTCAATCATCATTACAAATTCTGGTGACTTCTGTGTCCTTCTGTCGGTTTGAACCAGACAGGATGGCCTTCATTGTCCTTGTGCATTGATGACCTTTGGATGCCCAACACTCTGTCCCAGTTTGTGGTATGTCCCTCTGCGGACTCCAGTGGTACCACTGCTGACCCCACAAGACTTGCTGTTTCACTCAGGTATTCACACCTGCCCATTTCTCCTGCATCCAGCACACTGACTACAATAACCAACAGTTTACTTACCATCTATCCCAGACTTTGACATGCACCACTGATACAAGATCAGTGTTATTCACTTCATTTGTGAGTGGTTATAATGTTTTGGTTCTGTGTTGTTCCTTCACTGGACAGTAGTATTTCTACTGTTGCTTGCATTACCTCATTGGGGCATTGCAAATATGGCTATTTAACTGTCTAAATGTGCACATTCACCCCTGCTACCCAAAACATATTTACAGAAACTAACATTAAAAGGTTAAAAGTGGACAGTTGCATATACATCTAAGAGAAGACAACTACTTTCCTGTATGCATCATGAGGTCTGATATATGCAGTGAGAAAAAGCTCACCTTCTGATGCTTCAAGCTTGGTTCTCAGGCAGCAAAGTGAAACAGAAAGTGAAAGTCAAAAGCCAGAGCTAGAAAAAGAGAGTCTTGCAGAATAAGCTAAAGATCAGAGGCAAAAGCAGAGGACAGAGTCGGGACAGTCTAATAGTCCAGCAACTCAGGCTGATTGAGAGTCAACTGCAAGGCAAGAAGTAGAGACAGCTTTACTGCAGGCTAGCATACAAGTCAATTGAAGACCCTGAAACCCTCATTAACACCATCACCACTGAGTCATCCAGTCACACTGTTGTCTATATAGGCAGCACCTGAGCAAGTGTGGCTAAAATGTACCCCAACTATTATGCTAGCTAATAATCGCTTAATCTTAGACTGCATCAATTTATCAAGCTTTCTGTGAGTATTACTCACACACACACACAGCATCCCAAAAGACATTGGGTGGAAAGCAGGATACACCCTGGGCAGGTCACCAGTCCATCGCAGGGCAGACAGACATATACATTCACACCCACACTCACACCTAGGGGCAATTTAGCATGTCTAATTGGCCTGACTGCATGTCATTGGTCTGCGGGATGAAACCGGAGTACCCGGAGGAAACCCAAGCACACACAGGGAGAACATGCAAACTCCACACAGAAAGGACCCTGGTTGCCTGGCCAAGAAATTGAACCCAGGCCTTTCTTGCTGTGAGGTGACAGCGCTACCCACTGCGCCACCGTGCCACCCGAGTATTACTCTGGAAGCACAAATGGCTATCTCTGATTCCCACACCACTCAAGACCCTATATAGTCTACTGGGATGTCTAGGTTTGTCTGTCTTACAGCTACATACAATTGTGCTATTAGTATAATGTATTTGAAACCGGGTTATTATTTATGCTGAGATGTGTCTGGTGTGTCCATGTAGTCAAAAGCATGGACCAGCTGAACATGTCTTTACATAGCTGTATTTAGCATAGAAGAATTAAGTCTGTTAGCAGCCTTTGTTTATCCAATTATCAAAGCTATGAAAATGCTAGCAGCTCTGTGTACTTCTGAATTGCACGTTTTGATTGGTTTCACTGATCCTTGACTCAGCTCACCAGCTAATAAACCCTTTATTAGTTTAAGGCTACACTCTGTAAATTGGTTGTGCTTCAGAACCCTTCCCTGAGCAGGTGAATCTGATAATTGTGAGTGCATTGAAAGAGAATTCAAAGAGAACTCAGTCAAAACAAGATGTCTTCAGATGATGTAAGTAAATGATCTGCTACAGTCATCATACATTCTAAAAAGTGATGCGTGATGTCTTTTCTATTCATTCAAGCCCTCTGTAATACTGAGGTAACTGGACTGTAAAATAAAGTGTAACATTGTACATAATAACTACACCATAACTATCTGTTTTGTAGTATTTGTGGTATGCAGAGTATAAGCAAACATAGTGTTCATGTTATAGATGTGCTGTAGGTTAAAAGCAGAATGTAAAATATAATTAGTGTCTATATTCAGGGTTTGAATGTTATGGAATACAAGTATTCAGAACATTTATTCAGAGTACAGAATACAAAAATGATTCTCAAGGGTCACCTTTCAGAATGTAAACAATTTCCTGTAAGCAATCTAAATTCTTTCTACAGGATAACGTCTTCCTCTGCAACCTGAACACAGCATGTTTTGCCCTACCTCTGCACAGACAAGCGTCAATTTTTTATGCAACTTCAGTCATATGTATACTGCACACACACAAACTCGAATTTCAGCTTAATGCATCAATTTTTGACAGCATCAACTATTTTCATTATACCAGAAGATGTGGACTGGAGTGCTGAATTGCACTGTATCGGACTTTTGTACTTAGTAACTCAGCAATAACAGCAGTTTTATTTCAGTCCAGTGCTCCAGTCCACATCTTCCCATTGTTTCTCCATATGTTGCAAGCGAGACTTTTTAGCATCTGCTACACTTTGCTCTTGCCCTTTAGGATTCTTCAGTGTTTCATAGATATTCTGTACATAAGTCTCGTCTCTCTGGGTGTGACTGTATGTCTGTGTGTGTGTGTGTGTGTGTGTGTGTGTTTAAGGACAGAGGGATGTTTCTGTGTCCTTTGTGTACATAAGTTAGCCATTTCCAGTATCTTCCAGGTCTTTTGACACTTTTATTTGGTCACGCCTCAAGTCTAATATCTACTTTGTTGTGTATTGTAGTTCAGTACTTTAATACCATCCATATAATAATATAATCCATATTTCACACTACAATGTATACACCTCTTACCATTCTGTCATGGTTTAACCTACAGCAGATCCATAACATTATGTGTGGTTATAAACACTATGTATGGTTATGCTCTGCATACCATATAGCCAAAAAAAAAAGTTTCTTTGTATTTACTATGCAAAATATTACATGCAAAGCGAAATAAAGTGCAACCAAAACTGTACATAGTGCAGCTTTATAATGTGTGTTAGAGCAGGATACTCCAGGACTGTGAGTGGGCAACAGTGGAATAAGAAGACTTTGTGTTATTCATATTGTCAGTTAGAAAAATAATTACATAATATTAATCCAATTTTAATGGTTTACATTTACACAAATAACGAAAGAAGTTTTGCTCGTACCTTTTATCATCCCAGAAATAAGGATGATCTACAGCCTCTTTAATCGTCAGTCTCTGTTGTGGATCTTTTTGAATCATCCCCTCAATCAGATCTTTTGCTTCCATGTCTGTTATTTTTCCCAGAGAGTACTTCCCATCCATAATGTTTACTTCTACACGAGTACCTTTGCCAAAAGGATGAAGCCCATCCAAGAGAATGTAATGCACCAACATTCCAGCCACCTGCAACCAAAAAACACATTTTCATTCAGTAACTCTTTTACTTAAACCATACATCTCGCATCACATATTACTGCTACTGAACACAGAATAAAAATGAAGTTCACGTATTCCCATCCCATCCAACAAGCTGTTATCAAAAGGCACTTCTATGTCTAAAAATTTGTATGCATTATTGCCTAGTTATGTCTTTTTTTAACTGCGTGTTATTCAGTTATTCATCTTAAGGCTTATTGATTATTGTTGATTAATGTGCTGGTTACGAAGTTGTGAGGGTGAGGAACTGAGTAACTGAATATATTACCTGGTCTCATTACATGACGGGTGCTCTGTAAGTTATAACTATAGGGTCAGGATGCAACGTAATATAAGTATTGTGCTCATTCCAAGTTACATTTTAAAATGGCAGTATTCAGAATTCAGTTATTTTTTAAATATTCGAAGAATAGATTTAGAATAATTAGCCTGTAAACAGACTTTAAATGAAATGTCATCAATGCTCATTTATTAAAAACACTGTTTGTAGTCCTTGCTAAAGAATGAGTAGACTAATAAATCAATGTGATTATTTATCTCAGTGCTACTAAGTAAATATTTTGAGGAATAACTGTACTGAACAGTCTCCTCAGTAGTGGAAATATTCATGTGCAAATGCATTTCCTGTAAGCTAAAATCTTTAGCTGCGTTCCAAAGCCTAGGCTGCAGTCGAAGTTGGCCCTCTTTAGCAGCGTATTGGTCACACAAATGGAACAGTCCTAATAAGGCTGTGTGGTGACGTCACCAGAGTAGCGCGAAACTCATGAGGGAACTGGTGAGAGAAAATGGAACTCGTTGCATTGAGTTTGTTGCTTTTTCATTTCTTCATGGAAATGGAGGAGATGTTATGTAGTACAATAATCTACATAAATACCTCTGATTAAAATACGATATATGGAAGATACGCGATATATGACAAACGCTTTACTTAATCAGTGATTTTACACTTTATAAGGTGACGAAGACGACTTCAAAGACATGAACAGCTTACATTTTAAAATTAGTTTACATCTGTTTTTCACCATTTTTGTGGAGCTGTTTTTTTTCCTTCGCTTTGTTTGTGTGCAGCGAACTGTGGGTAACCGAAAGCCTGGAAGGATACATCTGATGCATCCTTGAAATCACTCTGAACTTAGGCTGTACATGAATTTCTAGGCTGTATATGAAGGATTCTTCACTTTGGAACGGGCTGCTATAACGTACCGGCTGAGAAATGCAGCCTAGGGTTTGGAACGCAGCTAACGTCATACTCTTGCACACACTCTTCCTCTTTACCTGAAAAAAAGGTGAAATTTGGTGCCTGTGTTCTACCCCAGTAAAAACTATATTCAATATACTTTTGAGACATGTACTAGGGATAGATGTTGCCTATTGCACAACAGTGGCAAAAATACATTTTTGGTAGGCCTGTGAAAAAGTGAGTAGGCAATTTCCAAATGTGCTACTGCAGTCCTGACAGCCATGCAGTCATCACCCTACCTAATGTTTCTGCTCTATGGTGATACAAAACATTAGCAATCAACCAGAAAGCTGGATTCTTATGAATCAAACCAACACTGCAATCACTATAAAGCATGCATGTGCTCACAACAAGCATGTTTGCTCAATGAAGACAACATGACTAAGTTAAAATCATACAGCAAAGATGTACAAACATGAAGAAAAAAACACAGCAAACTTAAAAGCCCAAACCTAATCAACCTAGGCTAAAGCACACTGGCACAGCGGGTGGACCCAAAGAAGACAACATGACTGAGTTAAAATCAGACAGCTGGGATGTGCAAAGGTGAGGAAAAACAACACAGCATGCTGAAAAACTTAAACCTAATAATGTTAGGCAAAAGTATGCAGCCACAGGAGACAAACGCTTATGGTGCATTTATGTCTTACCTTTGATGACTATTAACCTAACATTAGACTTTTGTTTTTTGCAAAGCTCATTTCAAGTACCCATTTTAAGTACCAAATTCACAGACCATTGATGACATTTTCACATTTTTTGGCTTTAAATAGGTAGAAAATAACAAGCTCTATGTGACAGAATCTCACTTTTAAACTTCCCCTGTTACATTTTTTTTAACTGGAGCTGCAAATTATACTGCTATACTGATACTGCTATATACTTATATATTCTTTTTCTTTCACTTCGCTATTAATATCGCAACTCATCGTTTATTAATGATCATACAGATATAAGGTGATGTGGCACCACAACCACCCAACACCCCTCCAAACACCACCCCGCCACCCTCGCACCCATCCCCTGATTTGAGTGAAACAATGAACAGAAATAACAACAGAAGTATATAATAATAATAATGACAAACTGGACATACAGAATAGACAAATACAGACACTTAACAAAACAATAAACAAGACAGTAATGCCCCTTTTTTATGTAATTATAACGTGGGTAGTTATCAAATTCTATGTAGGTGTTTTAACCTTCCCCTGATGAGTTTAAAGAGAGAAATCAGCTCTCAATATATTGTAAAAATTGTGACCAGGTTTCCTTGAATAATTTTGTGTTATTTTTAAAATTTGCTGTGAGTCTTTCCAAGTTGCAGTGATCCATGAGGAGATTAAGCCAATGCTTTATCGAAATTTTGGTTCTGTCCTTCCAGTTCAGCAGTATAACTTTTTTGGCAATGGTAAGTGATATGAATATGAAGCATTTGAGGTGATTGGGTGCTGAAAGTGAGGAAAGGTCATTAAGTAGCGCTATAATGGGACATAAAGGGATGACAAGGCCCAAAATCTCTGATAGCCTGTCCATGACCTCTGACCAAAACTGCTGGGTCGGGGGACAATTCCAGAAAGCATGATAGTAGTTGTCTGTTAAAGCTGGACAATGTTGGCATTTATCACTGTGACTAAATCCCATACGGTGTAGTTTAGAGGCTGTGATATATGTTCTGTGAAGGGTTTTATATTGAATTAGCTGGAGTTTTGAATTGCTGGACATAGAGAAGATATCACAGCATATATTTTGCCAGTTGATATTACATGTTTCTTTTATATCTGAGGTCCATTTTTCAGTTGGGAGTGAGATAGTGTTGTCCTTTGAGGCTATAAGTTTATATATTTGTGATAACATTTTCTGAGGTTTTAGGGAGTGTAGTTTTAAGTAGAGGGGAGGAGTGTGATTGCAGAGATTTCCACTATTAACTGTCTTCTTTAGAACATCTTTGAGTTGTATATACTGAAAGTGACAATTATCTGGTATATTGTATTTTTCTTTGATGTCATCAAAGGTCATGAGCAAGCCACCAGAGAACAACTGTGCCAGGCTGGTTATTCCTCTCTGTTTCCAGGCTGAGAATATGAAAGGTTTGTTATTTATTAAAAACATGGGGTTTTTCCACAAAGGAGTTTGACTGGAGGGAGAGTAGCTGTATTTAAGAATTCTGTTTGAATTCCACCATGCATTCAGGGTGGTACTTATTGTACTGTATTTATAAAATTTTGTTTTTTTTATAGCTTTGTCTATGAATGGGATACTATTAATGTCCAGTTCTTGAATTAAACTTTCCTCAATATCTTGCCAGGGTTGGTTTGAGCTAGTTGTCCAATGTCTAATGTAAAGCAATTGATGTGATAGAAAGTAGTAGTGGAAATTTGGGGCTCCAAGTCCTCCAAGATGTTTAGGTTTCTGGAGGGTAGTTAACTTGATTCGAGGCTTTTGGTGCTTCCAATAGAACTTAGTCACTGCATTGTCAAGAGAGGAGAACCAGCCTGACGGTGGGGTAACAGGGGTCATAGAAAACAGATAATTGATTTTAGTAAGGATATTCATTTTAACTGCTGATATTCGGCCAATTAGAGATAATGGTAATTTATTCCACCTTTCTAGATTATCCTTTATTTCTTGCATTAAAGGTATGTAATTAAGTTTATACAAATCATTTATGTTAGAAGAGATATGAATACCAAGATATTTAATAGACTGGGCGATATGTTCAGATGGTATATCATAGACCTCGTCATCCCCGTTGAATTTACTTAGAGGCAGAAACTCAGATTTGGACCAATTAATGGAATAACCAGAAACCCTGCTATACTTATTTATCAGATCATGAACTGATGGAAGGGATAGTGAAGGGTTAGTAATATACAGTAAAACATCATCTGCATACAGACTGATTTTATGGTGGTATGACTTTGACTGTATGGCTGTAATGCATTGACGGGGCAAACCTGTATATCAGAGCTCCTTTTATATCTGCACTTTTCTTCATCCTCGTTTTCCAGTATCTCCGCCGCTTCCCATCCTCGAGTACCAGCTCTTGGGGTGCACCTGGTGCTTTCATCTCTGTTTAGTCTGCGGCTTATGCCAAAATCCGCCAGCCTTGCATTTCCTTTCACATCTGTCAAATGTTTTGAAGGTAAATTATATTTATATGCTGTCTATACCAGGCACATCAAACTGGGGACCTTCCAGGCCAAAGTGCTGTGGAGATTAGCATTTACCCTCATCTTACACTCTGAATTCAGTTTATGAAGACCTTGTTAATTAGCTGATGAGCTGAAGTAGGTGTGTTTAATGGGGCAGTGTGCTGAAGTCTGCAGTGTTTTGGCCCACAGGGACTGGAGCCTGACATATGTGGTCTATACTAATGTCATAGGTCCCTCTTCACAATTGGTTTTAACATCTGTAATATCTGATCTGATCATAAGTGGACAGCAAGAAGTATGGCTGTTCACATCTGGCATTTCCGTGTGTCTGAAATGCATCTTCAGTGACCAAATTATCAGATTTTGTGACTGGAGGAAGGGTCTCGCGGCATTTGTTGTCAGACAAAAATGTCCCATGAGTCCTTGTTCTTGTAAATGCCTGGACTGTTACAAAAATTTTGATTATATGGATTGCTAACGCATTTGTAAAAAATGGGAGAAGAGATGGAAAATTAAAGTGTATGCACCTGCTTTCCCCTCTGCTGTGATGATGCTGCTGATTAAGGTGGTCTTTTGATACAGTCAAGGACGTGTCAAGTTCACACTACAAATGTTATCTGGTCATATGCGTCCCAGATGACCTCTGAACTTGGTTTGTGTGATCGAATCACATTGCGTCTCTGAGACACACTGGACTCCTTTCACACCTGTACTTACTGCTGCCCACATATGATTGGATCACTCAAAATGAATGTTATTGCCAGCTGTGAATGAGGTAATAGTCACAGCACTCAGACCTGTACTACTTAAACATGCCTGTAGTACCTGAACGTAAAAGAATCTCATTAAAGCTGCACTATGTAAGGTTTGGGGATTTGGAGACCTCCCTGGTGGGAATGTGTAATGGCATGCAACATGCATAAGAACATTTTCCCAGATTGGACGACTCTGATACTTATGAGCAGGCTGAATTCAAAGAGAACAGCCAAAACGTGATGAAGGACATGTCTTCTAAGGATGTAAGTGAATTATTTAGTCTTGTCATCTATATCTTCATTAGCATACAACTGATTTCTATTTGAGACCTAAACATCGACAGAAAACTTTCTGTGTGTGCCTGACGCCACTGATTTAAATTAATATTTCAGACATTAAAGTGCAACTCACAGCAGCGCATCCACACAGTATTTTAGTTTTTGTTCCACTTTTGTTCAGCCGTGCTACTTTAAATTTTAACAAACAAAAAAAACAAAACTCACACAGTGCAGCTTTAAGTAAAAAAAATATAAATGTCATACCTATGAGAACATTTCTGGGTTTTATATCTCGGTGGAGCACACCAGCCTCATGGAGAACTGCTAACCCAAGGAGCACATCTCTTGCCAATTTCTTCAAAGTCTTCATTCTGTCCTCTTTTTTTTCAAGACGAAGCTGATCCATGTATTCATCCAAATTACCTTCACAGAGCTGGAGAGCGAGGTAATTAAACTCACCATCTTCTTCGATATCTACATATCTGACTATGTAGCTGCTCTCAAGATCTTGTAAAAGTGACATCTCATTCTTTAGTTCTTTCGTGTTAGTCTTAATCATTCGTTTAATGGCTACTTCAGTTCCATCTGCTTTTATTCCAATATATACTTGAGTACCGTTAGCTCCAAGTCCTATGAGCAATTGCTCCTTTGTAGACAGGAAAAGCTTCCCTGTCCCTACACTCTGCAGATCAGGATCATCAAGGAGAAGGTTTAACTTCTGCTGCCATTTCTTGCTAGCTTTCTTTGTCAGCCATCTTTGTTTAAGGGTTTTTTGCAAAGTTTTCTTATCGTCCACATTTGCTTCTTCCTCCCTAGTGCCAAGGAAAGGATATTGTCTTTTAAGCGGTGTCTGTGGGACGAATTCTGAGGCTAAAAAAAAAAAAACATCAAGAGTAAGGACAATATCACACATCACAAATATATGCATTTTGTAATCTGATAGACTAAAACTTATCCGTAATTTTTAAGAAACCTAACCTAGAACAGTGTGTCTTATTCGCGGAACGATGGCAAAATCGTAACTTGTGTTTTGATTCTCCAGCTCTTGAATGAGATATGGCTCCTGTCCCTTCAGTGCATGGTAAAAGGCAGTTTTTGCTGCATGTCCTCCACAATCCAAAACCGTGTAAAACGCCTTCATTTTGTTCTGAGAGGTCCTTTCTGCTTGAATCTTTGAATATGCCTCATTACTTAACATTCTCTTTGACAGCAGCTCATCAGCCAACGGCATTACTGAAGAAACACGCTGGATAAGCTCCGTTCTTTTATGGTCCACAAAAAAAGAATCTGAGAAGATGATATCATAAATATCATTAACAGATTACAAGATAATATAAAATTTAAGATTAGAGGATGTTTTACAGGCTCACAAAAGTAATCAAATGTTAACATGCCAGTAAATATAGTTATTCTTTGTGACTTTGTTAATTACATTCAAAATAGCGTTGTTCGTAGTTACTCTAGGTTTATAGCCTGCTTATGAACAGCTTACTCACAATCTCTCTCCATCTTTTGTCCTCAGCTTCTGCAAAAAAAACAACATACTTTGAACGCATGCAATTTAAAATGTCCTAAAAACAGAAAAGTAAATGCTATTTCTTTTTATGCCGGCACTGCATATGACCTCATCTGTCAAGCATGGCGGAGGTTGTGTCATGGCTTGGGCATGTTTGGCTGCCAATGGAACTGATTCCCTTGTATTTACTTTTGTTGACAAAATCAGCAGGATGAATTCTGAAGTGTATATGGCTATATTATCTACCCAGATTCAACCAAATGCTTTAAAGCTCATTGGACCGCACCTCATAGCACTGAGGGACAGTGACCCAAAACATACTGGGAAGTCAATACTTTTTAAGGCAACGACGTGGAGTGTTTTGCAAAGCCAAGTCAATCACCTGACCTCAATGCAATCAAGCATGTATTTCATTAACTGAAGTCAAAATTGAAGCTAAAACACTCCATGTACAAGCAGGAACTGAAAACAGCTGCACAGAAGGCCTGGCAGAGCATCACAGGGAAGAAACCCAGCATCTGGTGATGTCTATGGATTCCTGACTTAAGGCAGTCATTGACTGCAAAACATTTGCAACCACCTATTAAAAATGACAGTTAATGATTATCTTAGTTTGTGGAAAGACTGAGGAAAAAACTGAGGACAGTCAACTGCAAGTGCAAAAACCTGATAAACAGAAAAGCCCCTGAAAATGTAAGGACTAAATAAGTGAAATAAAGGCCCTTCAGCACTCTGCCACCATAATTAAAATAATATAAAGCTCTATCACACAACAAAATATTTTTTTCCCCAATGCATTTTAACACATGTATAAACAAACATGCGCTGTTTATTGAAGATATTTTTCATCTCAAAACTATCATAAAACAATGTCACAGGCATCATGCAACATATTCTTAACTATTTCATATAATGTTTTTCTTTGTGGGAGCTTTCAGAGGCATTCAGTTCTTTAGACATCTGGTTTCTATCAAGACCACTGTGAAAAATTCTGATAGTCTGTCTAGAATGGAGCTTTTCACATCAGAATGTCTCTATTTATTTTAATCTTAGTGTTTGAGTAGATAGCCCACTTTTAGATGCTCATCTTAGGTGAAGTACTTTAATTAAAAACAAACTCATTTTAAAGTTTAGTAGTTTTTAAAGAAGTACAAGAAGATCTGTGTCGGCCAGTTTTAATATTGTTATTGATACTGTAAAACAAAAAATAGTTTCTCATCATCTCTAATTATTCTCTTTATTTCTACAGTAAAGCAGGAAATTTTTAATAAACACTTTACTATATCCAGTTTATAATGAGCTACTGTCAGTCAGCTACAGCAGTGTTTCTCAACTCTGGTCCTGGAGGCCCACCACCCTCACTTTTTAGTCTTTCCTGATCCCAACACACCTGGTCCAACGAATCAGTGCATTAACAGCCCATTACTGTGTTAAAGTTGGGTGTGTTAAGCATTAAAATACGCAGAGCAGTGGGCCTCCAGGACCAGGGCTGAGAAACACTGAGCTACAGAGACCAATCACATGCAATTCAATTGAATACTCATATGTAGGCGGTGAGACTTAGTTTAAAAAATGGGACACCTTATAAATAAGAAACTAAAATCTATTTTCTAACTATGTGGAGTTACAGAGGTATTCTTAGTTCTGTTAATGAAATTAAGTCAGACAGCTTGCCTAACAAACTGAAACATTAATCTAGCCATGCGTGATATAGTGATGAACGACTCATGAACAGATCCTTCTTTTTAATTCTTTTCAATAAATCAGTTTAACTGCTGCACAATCCAACTGAAACATCAGATGTTTATGTGTGTTTCTGTACCAATAAACCAATACATTTTGCCCCACCACTTTTAGAGGTGTGCTGCCCCTCGGTGGGCCTAATCGTTAAATAGGACCATGTCCCTTTGGGCTTAAATGGTGTACATTTCATATACTATGCTGCCATGTTACTCTGTACAAAGCTCCAGTGTGTGTTTGTATATGTGCGCTGGGAGACACATTGGCTTCTTTTTATCTATAAAGTGCTTACTGGCCATATGCCATCGTACATCACTCAAATGCTCAGAGTAAATACTGCAGTTTATCAGACTCTGATTTTTGGTATGTCTTAGCTAATGTTTATTTATTTATTTTATTCTTTTTATGTATTTTATTATTGTCAATTTATTGTCTTACATCTTCTATTTCTTTTTATTTCATTATGTTTTTATTTATTTTATCCTTATCTGATCTTTTACTTTTTAAGTTATATTAAGCTATATTGTAATTTTAACAGTTTATTGATACCTTCTTATTATTAAATTTTACTATTATGATTTTTATTATATTATTATAACATTTGATTTCTTCTTACTACCCAACTTCTCAATCCCTGATTTATGTAATGTATTCTGAGTTTAAATAAAGGTTGACTGATTGATATGTTGCCCCATGGTGACTGAGGTACTGTGAGTTAAAAGATAATTCCACACATTTTTCATTTTTCTGCAAATTTCAGTTGTTGAGATGTAAGTAAACTATGTAAGTAAACTAATTCAGAGTAATTTGATGTGAAATAATGCACTGCAGATTTTCTTTACAGTGGTGACGGGAGCCAGGGATCATTATGTCTACACAGTCGTGGACAGTAACTAAGTACACGTAATTCGTTACTGTACTTAAGTAGTTTTTTCGTGTATCTGTACTTCACTGAAGTATTTCCATTTTGGGCGACTTTTCACTTTCACTCCACTACATTTCAAAGTCAAATATCTTACTTTTTACTCCACTACATTATGAGAAATCTGTTGTTCCTTTTGGTTTATGTGTGTATAAAAACGTAACATGTCAAAACGAAAGAAGCTTGAAGCAAAAACACCAATCACCAATCAGGTGTGTAAATAGACCACAGTATAGAAATATGTACACATATGCAGTTGTGACTGGTATGTGTCTTTTTTCTGAATTTATACAAACATTATTTCATTTTATAGTAAATTCGTTTTTTGCTAGTTTATATTTATGAACAGAGACCTACAGATGCCATATAGTAAAGGAAACTCATTTGTGAACCTGTGTTTAAAGCAAGTTTTTATTAAACTTAAACTTGTAACTAAGTTGCAAATAAATCTTAAACTGAAACTTTGTTTGTTTGCAAAAAGTTTTTTCAGAGCCACTCAGTTCTACCTAATGGAAACTGTTTGCCTTCAGTGCCTTCTATAATATTTTTAATAGACATCAGTGTCAGACTAATTAATGACATTCTATTAAAAGACTGGTTTACCAAGAGTGACACTGGAGTATTTTCACCTAAAATGAGTTAATGAAGCAAGAGTCTTGTTACAAAAATGATAATAGGACATTAGAGTCATAATTAATCTTTTAGTACTTTTACTTTTGATACTTAAGTGCATTTGAAGACAAATACTTTTGTACTTTTACTCAAGTGGAGGTCTAAAGGGAGGAACATCTATTTTTACTGGAGTAATATTTTACCTTGGGTATCTCTACTTTAACTCAAGTACATGATTTGTGTACTTCGTCCACCTCTGTGTCTACAACACATACATAGTCATTTACTTGCTATTTAAAATGACGAGTTAACCTGCTTTTATGCGTAAAAATGATAATGGTAAAATAATGGTAAATCTGAAAATGAGAAAAATAAGTTATTGGGGTATCTTTCTGCCATTAACGCATTTCAATTTAAAGGTCCGACTGTGTTCCACCATAAACAGACCTGTAATACGGCGGAATAGCGTATCAGAGATCTACTCCCATCTCAAAGTAAAGCTGTCTTAACCTAGAACGATAACATGACAGCGTGGCGCAGCTGGAGTAGAGCTGTCGAAAACAGCTGAAACGGGGAAATAAAGGCCGATACAAACTAAGGAAACAGATGTAAGTGCGTAAAGGAAGATGGGTAAACGACGTAAAAAGTTTCGACAGTTTATGAGTTCGTCCACAGAGCACTCCGTAACTTAGACGTTGCCATTATGTGAAGCCGTCGGGGACAAAACGTGTGAAAATATACTTTAAAAAAATGTTAATATAAATGTTAACCTGGGAATTGTTACTGAAAACATGTACATTGTATGTTAGCATAATAAGTCGTAAGCACAGAATTATTATTAGAATTTGTTAAATTTTGAAGCAGCCTTTTCCAAGATGAACTAAATGCAGCTACTTTTTAATTTAAAGATCTCTCACTATGGTTGCAATTATGAGATTCCATTTGACAATAAACTCACAATCGATTTATTGAAACATAGTAATCATTTCAGCTACAACAAGTGTCAAGTTTCATCAGCCGCGGCAAGATATACGAAAAATTATCAAGAAATAAGCATCTCAAACTTAGGTACTAAGTAATCACTGGTAAGGTAATAAATATTAGGTATAAATATTGTACTATGTACATGTACAAACCCAATTCCAAAAAGGTTGGGACAGTGATTATGTGGCAATAAAAACAGAAAGCAGTAATTAGTAAATTCTTTTTTCTGTACTAAATAATAAAAAAAAAACACCAATATTTGATGTTTTACATACTCACACACAGACACATTTTCTAAGCATTCTGGGTCATGGGGGGAGCTGGAGCCTATCCCAGAAGTCACTGGGCGAAAGGCAGGAAGCAAATAATACTTAAAAATATATAAAATAATGTCATTGCTCTCTTTATTTCAGTATAATTTTGTTTATATGTATGTATAATGCACACAAAAATATTTTTATGTTCATTGAACATACAGTTTAAATTATAAATTAAACTCAACAACCTTGTCAAAATCTACTTCATTTTTCTATGAACTGAGTTGGCACAACTTTTTATTGAGTTCAAATCATACATATACACATAGAGATGCCATGTTGGGTTCAGCCAGGCACGTCATTGCCATCCATGTATTCATCATTGTCAGCCAGGCATGCCATCATTTTGGGGAGGTCAACATCGCTGCTGAACTGCATTTAGTTCCATTACAGATCTGCAGTAAAAAACAAAAAAGTACTGTCCAAAATTTACACCATTTAGAAAATATGGCAGTTTTGGGTTTAATAGTGATTTAATTTGTTGTATTTTATCATTAATGACACATGTTCTCTAAACTTCTGTCACACAGTGTCATAACTGTTGGTCTTAGACATTATTCCACAACCCACTTACACTACTGCCACACATTGTGACCAAAATGCAATTTGTGCAGTCATGGAATATATCAGTATGTCAGTCCTGTGCCCAAGACCTAGCAACAGTGTTTGCACATCCATAACCATAAAGCTCTCAGTGAGTTTAAAACCAATACAAAACATTCATAAGATGAAAACAGTTTACAGTTCTGTATACAATGTATTGTTACATGACAACAAATGACAACTGAAAGACACAAAAGCCTCCAAACATTGCTCTTAACCAATGTGAAATTAATACAATGTTGCAACATCATTAGAAACATTGTGACAGAGTCATAAAAAACATTGGGTACTAGGTATCCACACTAATTAACTGCCATTTTAGATGGATATTGTTATGACCCTACATTTTATCTAGGGTGCTGTGATATCAGTAACATGTGGCATTAATATGCTGAACTGGTGAAGGAAGGGTTAAAGGAAAGAAGAACAAGCAAAAAGAGTTCCAGAAGCCATTTTAATGAAAAATGAAACAGTAAAAACACAGTTATAATATCTAGTACCACTCTAGAAGAATGTGGACAGCACCATCGAAATAAACAAACAAAACATGCCTGCCTACTCTGAATCAAATAATACTGAGCTACAAAACCATAATTAAACTAAAGCTAACTACTCTACTCTTCCCTGGCCAATAATCAAAACTACAAGGAGCAGTGCCCACCCTCTGAGGGAACTAGACAGAGTAGACGCCTATATGGTGCGAATGTACAGACCTGCCTCTCTTACCTGTTTGAAACCCCAGATGGTACAAATGTTCTAGCATGAAAGCAAACCGAGTTAAGTGTGTTTTCGCAAGACTGACCAAACAAAAACACATCCCCAATACAAGACACAAGGTCCTCTGTAAACAAAGTAGGGAGTGCCCTGGTATGGAGGGTGTAGACTCCACACAGAGTGCCTATGTTCATTTTTTTCACTTGCTTCTCTGGTGTTGAGAAAAGAAAATACAAAACCAAACACAATTCAAATAAGAAGAAAGATTTTAAAAGAAATTCCAAAAAGTAACTGACACTGATTGTCATGCAATACAAAAAATTTCAACAACAACAAAAAAAAAAAACTCACATAAATGGATAAATAACACATAAACCCCTGATTTTTAACTGACCCTCAGACTGAACTGACCCTCAGTAATACAGAAGTATCAAAATCATCTTAACAGTAAAAAGTAGCAAATTTAAAAAGAATGTATAACCATAGCCAAAGAAATGGCTTTAAAACTTAAAGGAAAGATCCTTTAAAACTTAGTATCTAGGACGTTCAATACAGTTGCTTTAGCTTCCCTTATTGTGACGTCCCTTGGTCCCTTTGTCCCTATTGAACCCTGCTTTCTATACTGTACATCAGTAATCAATATATAAGTCCATGAGTAATCAATTTACAGTTTTGTAATTTTAAAATGACTTGAATGTGGAGCTCCCTAATTCAGGGAAATATGCAATAGTTGCCATATACGCTAAAATATACAAATAGGAAATATAAAATAGAAACTGCAGGATTGTAATTGCATTTCATCAGTGGTTCATAAAAAATCAGGCTAAGAGCATCTTCTCATGGGGTATCCTCAAGCATTCCAACACATCTCCTTCGCCAGCTTGTGTGCGCTGATGAAGAAGTCCGGGAACAGATCTTTAAACATGTTGTTGTCTTCAAAAGCTTTTTTGCTGTGCAACAAAGTAACAGACACGTTACATTGTTATAGTTATCAATCAATTATTTATTAACAATAATAATTGTGTTAATGATTAATTTAAAAAAAGAAAAGACAATAATTCCAAAGATGTTAGACTTACTTGTGCACCAGTAAGTTACGCAGATAACGTAGCAGGCCAAGTAAATCATCTGGAAGGTTTTTGTCAGGAGCTTTTATCTGGGGAACTTTGGAAATCTGTAAACAGTATTACAGTGTTACAGGTATGTACTGAACTTCAACATACGTTTGTATCTGTCCCAAAAAAATGCCCATCTGAGAGATGTAGTGTGACTTGAAAGATCAACACACTTGTACATTTATGTGCATTTTCCTTTCAGTTTTTCATATATAGATCATTCTACCGAACTGGTTGGCAGGGTGGTGGGCTACACTCTACTTGATAGGGTGAGGATCTCAATTATCCATGAGCTCAAAGTAGAACCGCTACTCCTCTACTTTGAGAGGAGCCTGTTGAGGTGGTTCGGGCATCTGATCAGGATGCCCCCTGGCCTCCTCTCATAGGAGATTTGTTAGGCACAGTTGACTGAGACAAGACACCAAGGTCGATCTAGGACCCACTGGAGGGATTATAATCTCCAAGTTGGAGGGGCTCGGGATCCCCTAGAATGAGCAGGAGGAAGTTGAGAGGGACAAGGTTTTCTGGTAATTTCTGCTTTCACTATTGCTACCACAACACTAGCTGGATCAAGCAGTTTGAGAAGATAAAAGAATGAATTATTGAATGAATGTTTAAATTTTTTTGCTTTGAATGACTATATCTTAATTATGTTTCTTAAAATGAATGACAGAAAATTCTATTTTCATTTCCATGACAATTATAACACTACCAAAACTTTATCAAAAGTTTCGGTTGTGATCATTTCATTAGCGACAATTTTAACTCATTTTGAGCTGAACTCAAAACCGCTAGCCAGTACATGACTAGCAAACACAGCTTTGATCAGCTGTACACACACAAAATCATAGTATTTTTCAATAAAGCACAAAAAAATGTACTTAATTGCAGAAAGTAAGTGTTTCGGTAGAGAAAATTCTTAATGTTATACACCTACTTCAAAACAATGGGATCTAACTGCTCACCATGTGGCCATGAGGGACTGGGATGCAGTCTCACTTCCTGCTCTAAAACACAGGAGGCTAAAACAAGCCTCCACACATAAAAATATGTGGCTAAAATAAGCTTCTGCCTATAGACTAAAACTCTTAGTGTTTTGCTAGTGACATGAAAACATGGGACAGCATGACTCATGATAAATCTCTTGTGGGCAGCCAGCTAGGTAGGGACACTGAATATTCTTGGCCAGTTCACTCAGAGATAGGAGTGGCCCAAACAGCATTTTACAGGCTTTGAACACTTGCTGGTGTTTCAGAACGACTACTCAAGTAGCTCTTAATATCGTTCTTAAAAACAATTTACATTTCACAATTGACCATCAAGTACAGAAGCAATTTCAGGATATAAATGTTTTAAAATCTTTATCTAGTGAAGTGTTTTCAGAGTCAGTTTAGCTGACTTACTGAAAAGTCATATTCCATTGCTAACTTACTGTTCAAATTCAAATCCATCGCAAGTAAAATAGGCGAACAAAAATCTAGCTCATCTCTAAATATGTTATATTGTAATTTTCTTGCAATTTAACATTTTTAAATAGCTTATTTTGCTTCAGTCTTTACAAAGAAGGGGCTTCACTGCAAAATCATAGGGGGACGTGTGGCTGTGTTCAGCTTTTAGCTAATGTTATCTGGATATGACATGATTTTGAATCATCTATTATTAGTCCACTAAATATAACTAGCCACTAACTCTGTAAATTGCCGGGAATCCACAAACTCCCAAATATAACAAGTAAATACTAGAATATTCAAATTATTTATGCTACCGCTAATAGTATGGCTGCATGATATAGATGTAAATGCAGTGTTGATTTTATCAGTACAGTGTGTCTGACTGCAGATGCCACAAGCATAGACAGTTTTTTTTTTACTCTGTAATTAAAGCAAATAGCAAACAATGCAAAATTACAAAAGCAAATTTCACTTTTGCACAAAGTAAAAAAATAATGAAATACCAATTACTAAACTAAGCTACTTATATCACAACTGCATTGTCAGGCTGTTAGAAAACCAGCTAACAGTCTTAAAAAGCTATTTCTATATAAGCCTACAAAAATAAATGTATATTTAATTCCTTAGAAAACTCTTTATGGTGATGCAGATTTGTTGTGACAGCAGCCATTACTGCTCCATATAGGGCTGGGAATCTCTAGGCACCTCATGATTTGATTCGATTACGATTCAGAGGGCTGCGATGCGATTATAAAACGATTATCGATCTTGATGCATCTTTTTTATTCAGACAGGATTTCTTTTTTCGCACTGTGTGATTTCTTGGTACTTTTAAAGCAAAATATTTGTAATAGTCCATAATGAATTTACTTCCAATATCTTCTATTAATAAATCAAATGGAAGTGATGTGGCAGGTGAACTAGAAGGCTCTCATTCACTGTGCCTGTTTGGAGCACATGAGACGCTGCTGCCACTCATTGGTGATAAAATGCGCAGTTACAGTGAAATAAGATCCTGTGGCAGTGGGTGTCCATGCAGCAGATTACAGCTATTCTACCCGTTTTCTTTAGTGATTTTATAACTTTGGTCTTGGTCTTGCTGTGTCAGTAAAATATCTTCGAGACGGGACGCTGTATCTCGGCTCCAAAGTGTGCAACATAGCGCGAAAGCCCTGATTCTCAACGATGAGAATGGCTGCAAATCCTTGGCAATAAAAGTTGCGATAGAGTTTGTAATTCGCTTAGTTCTTTCCGAGTTGGGTGGAAGCTTTGATATCGCTTGCTCGATGGTCGCGCAGCAAGTACAACTGGACGGAAAATGGGTGCAAACACGGAATATGGTTTTCCCCTTCAGCTCCACGGAAGCCAAAGTGCTTCCATATACTAGCTCAGGGGTCGGCAACCTGCGGCTCTTTTACTGCTGGCTCCACAGCAGAATAATCCTCCTTTGCAGTAAAACAAAGCACTCCTGATCGTTCTAACACAGTTTTAACAATAAATGATCTTAAATGCTGGAGTTAATGTAGCCTATAACCGCTAGTTCACCTAGCTAGTAGCTAACGAAAAGGCAAAGAGAAAGATTTGAGACGAACATCGATAATTTGGAGACGAATAGACGTTTATAATCACTTCAGTTGGTTTCCTGATATGTTTAATCTGAAACAAGAAACTGTTAAACACTGAAAAAACGTGAAGCCGAAGTCAGCTTCTCATTCACCAGCTCCTTGTTTGAATTTTCCTGTTCCACCTTAAATGGTGCAGCAGTTACATTCTGGAGCCTCAGGCACCGTTTAAGGTGGAATGGGAAAATTCGAACGAGAAGCTGGAGAATGAGAAGCAACTTCAGCCTCATAAAAAGTAGAACATTGAGAGACATTTTACAAGAAACTGTTCTACTTTTGTGGAAAGGTTTCTAGCTGGTGATGCAAGAAAAGCAGCTAGAGCAGTAGAAAAGCAGTAGTCTGCGTTTTTGTTTGTATTATATTTTTAGCCTACCCTAGTACATTAGCACATACTGAGACACATGTACAGCCAAGATGGTAAATTGGACTCAAAATGATGTGGCTCCCAAGGTGGTTTGATTTTTGTTGAAAGAACAAAATGACTCTTATTAACATTTGGGTTACCAATCCTGCATTAGCTTTTAATGTAATGTGCCACCATAGACTGTCCAGGTGCTGCACTTTCGCACTTTGCAAAGTTCTGCCTTTTGCGTTCCGTCAACATTACGTTATCAATTAAAATTTAGAAAATCGATTTTTTACATTTGTGAATCGATTCAGAATCGTCCACGTCCGCATCGCGATGCATCTAAGAATCGATTTTTCCCCCCACCCCTAGCTCCATATATTTTATACATAGCTCTGGGTGTGAGAATAGTCAACGAGTTTAAAGTATCTTTACAGGCTAGTGTTCAGGATAGAGTATTGGTAGAGTTTTGCATGTACATGTTTTATAATTGGCTATTAAGTTAAATGATTAAGTCCCTTATTCCATGTGCAGGAGACCAGGGTTCAATCCTCCCTCAAGGAAACATGCTTCTAACTACACTCCTGCTGATGAAATCGCATCACTCTAGCACTATTGCTGTCACAGCCCTTAACGATGTGTTTATCATAGAATCTAATATCACAATGATGATGAGTATACAATTTATCACACAGCCTAATGTATTTGAACATTTGAAATTAATATGTTATCTTCAGAATATCTGTGATAGGCATATCAGAAAATTACACAAAACAAATGGTCAACTTGGATATTACCTTTGCATACACATCATACATGTAATTTCTTTATATTTTGAATGGGGATTCTTAACTCACCTTAGATTTCCATTCAGAAAAGGATCTTCCATCAGTGTATTTAGCCACAGCATTGCAAAGTTTTTCATCTACACTTCTGAATTTCTGAACAGCTTCCTTATCTCCAACTTTCCTCAAAAATGCATCTCTCCTAGTGGAAAACAACCGTAAGTTATCACTTTATGCAAATAATGCAAGGCTATAACCACTCTATGATTTCAGAACGCACCATTCACTATGATATGTCTACAACCACTGACGTGCATATCTTCAGGGCATTATGCAGAATGCTCCTTTAATACATGCAAGTACGTGAAGAAACACTTGTAGATATTTCACTCTGAATGCGCTGAACATGCACATTCACACCTGCTACCCCAAAAAAGGAGATGAAAAGTACAAACCCAATTCCAAAAATGTAAATAAAAACAGACAACAATGACTTGCAAATTCTTTCTGCTCAACTGAAAATAGTTATTTAATGGTTCAACTTGAAAGAAAATCTTATCAGACCACAGTACTTTTCCACTATGCATCAGTCTATCTCAAATGAGCTTTAGCCCAGAGAAGTTGGCAGCGTTTCTGGATGTTGTTGATAAACGGCTTCCACTTTCCGTAGTAGAGTCTTAATCTGCATTTGTAATAGCAGCAACAAACTGTATATACTGACAAGTATTCTTGAGCTCATGTGGTCATATTCATTACAGAAGCATGTCGGTTTTTAATGCAGTGCCATCTGAGGGATTGAAGGTCATGGCCTTGCGGTTTATGCACCTATCTTTGAATTCTCTGAATCTTTGAATAATTTTATGGACTGTAGATGTTGCAATTATGCTTTGAGAAATGTTTTTGGAACTGTTGGACTTTTCACTCACACAGTTTTTTTGCAAAGTGCCGACTAAGCCTTTTGTGAAAGCTCCTTTTATACTCAATCACCTGTTACCTATTCATCTGTTTAACTGTGAAACGTGAAAACAGGTGTTTTGGATCATACCACAAACTTCCCAGTTGTCCCTGTCCCAACTTTTTTGGAATTGGGTTTGTAGAAAATGAAATATAAACAGAAGTAATGACAAATGCAGTAGTAATTGATCGCTGTAGAGGGGAAGGATGAGGTGATAGAGCTGTAGTTTACTGTATGGGTCCTGAAGTCTAAAGTATGCAGTAAGGAGAAGCTCACCTTCTGCTGATTCAAGCCTCTGGTCCCAGATAGAAAAGCAAGACGGAGAGTGTGAAAGTCAAATATCAGAACCAGAGACAGAGAGAGTCTTGCAGAGGAAACTGAAGATCAGAATCAAAAGCAGAGGACAGAGTCAGGCTGACAGTCCAGCAGCCCAGGATGCATTGAAAGTCACTTGAAAGGCCAGAGGTAAGCTTTTCTTTTGTTCTTACCTTTCATCATCCCAGAAATAAGGATGCTCTACAGCCTCTTCAATCTTCAGCCTCTTTTCTGGATCTTTTGGAAGCATCCCCTCAATCAGATCTTTGGCTTCCACATCCTTTTCAATCGTCTCGTGAAGAGAGTATTCCCCTTTTGCAATACTTGCCATTCGAAAAGCATGTTTGCCAAAGGGATGATGCCCATCCGAAAGAATGTAATGCAATAACATTCCTGCCACCTGCAAACACAAACACGCATCACATATCACTGTTAGAACAAAGAATGAAACGAAGCTGTATTCCCATTCCATTTAACAAGCTCTTAATGCTTCATTATGGGTTTATATTTCTATTTGAATCACAAGTTATATCTGTTTTTTTTTATGTCAACTTTAATGATCAGAGTGCATTTCTACACGAAATGCCCTCATTTTAATGGTAAACATTTCACAAACTCTGTTCCACTAAATCTACTTAAACAAGCATTAATTATGCTCTCTTTGAAATTAAGCTGCTGACTGTATCCACGATACACTCCTTATTGTGACTTAATTTATCATCACAATGCAGCCCTAGTAAATACTATGAAATTAATGTGCCAGTAACAAAGTTATGAGAGTGGGGAACTCAATATGTTGTCTTGCAGTTTAACACGTGTTCACATTACATAAAGTTGTAATGTAATGACAGGTGCAAACCTGTATGTCAGTTTCCTTGTTATATCTGCACTTCTCTTCATCCTCATTTTCCAGTATCTCTGCTGCCTCCCAGCCTTCAGTACCCGCTCTTGAGGTGCACCTGGTGCTTTCACCTCCGTCTAGTCTACGACTTATGCCAAAGTCAGCCAGCCTCGCTTTACCTTCCACATCTGTCAAACAGTTTGAAGGTTAATTAGGTTTACATACAGTCTGTAACACTATCACAGGCCTGTGGCACATATGAAAATACAGAAATTATAAGTAATACCTATCAGAACATTTTGGGGTTTTATATCTCTGTGAATCCCACCAGCATCATGGACAACCTGTAACCCAAGAAGCACTTCCCTTGCCAATTTCTTTAAAACTTTCATTTTGTCCTCTTCTCCTTTTTCTTTTCCAAGTTTTTTCCTGTATTCTTCCAAATCACATTCACAAAGCTGGAGAGCAAGGTAATTAAAATCTTCGTCTTCAACAAAATCCACATATCTGACTATGTAGACGCTCTCAAGGAGACGCAGATGTGATATCTCATTTTTCAGTTGTTCATTGTTGGCTTTGACCATTCGTTTGATGGCTACCTCAGTACCATCTGCTTTTATTCCAAGGTATACTATGGTACCATCAGCTCCTGTTCCGATTTTGTATTTGTTGTTCTTTGTGCACAGCAACAGTTTCCCATTTCCCACGCTCCGCCGATCAGAATCCTTAAGGAGATCCGTTAAATATTTCTGCCATCTCTTGCTGGATTTATGCCATTTTGTTTCAAGGTTCTGGGGTCCCTCCCCCTCCACACTTGCTCTTGTTTCCCTAGATTCCTGTCTGTTATGTGACGTCTCTGTTGGTAATGTTGGAGATAAAAATTAGAATCAGAAGTGTAAGGACAGCACCACATAATCAAGTTATTATTATACTAAATCTAACCTCCATTTCTGAATGTTCTCTCCAGCTCTTCAATAAGGAAAGGATTCTCTTTCATCAGTGCATGGTAAAAGGCAGTTTTTGCTGTACGTCCTCCAGAGTCCAAAAACCTATAGAGTGCTCTCATTTGTGCCTGGGAGGTCTTTTCTGTGTGAATCTCTGAATATGCCTCATAACTCAATATTCTCTTTGACAGCAGCACATCAGCCAGCGGCATTACTAAAGAAACACGCTGGATAAGCTCTGCTCTTTCATGGTCCACAAAAAGAGAATCTGAGGAGATGACATCATAAATATCAGTCACAGTTTATAACAGTTTATAAGATTAGAAGAGGCTCACCACAAGACAATTAACCATCAATTAGTATTTTATTTTATATAAATCAATTTTTAGTCATTGATCAATTGGTTATTATTTATTAGACAATTTGTCATTAGCCAATAAATATTTCCATTCTTTGTCTCTTTGCTGATTACATTCAAAACAGACAGCGTATTTACATGCACTTAATAAACCGAGTCAGATTTCTGCACTTATCTGATTATTCAAATAGTCATGTAAACAGCAGACTCTAAGATCACAGTAAGGTCTAGAAATCCGATAAAAAGAGCTGGATTTTAGCTCAGTAATCAGATTTCTCAGTGCATGTAAACTCTGACTCTGATTTCTTTTGGATTTCTTAGTCTGCACATGTGTGAAAACAGACGGCGGTACCGGAATTGAGAGATGCAGTGAGATGGCAGCAAAACTTTTGGAGTGACGCTGAAATCAACTACAAGCTTGATGAAATTAAGGATTTATACATTCTTCACCTTCTAGATGATGTATGTTTATATTTTCAAGTGAACTGTGTTTTAAAAAAGATGCGGCATGAAGTTTGAGTTTTACATCACGTTAGTCATGTTTACGTCACTCTTCTTCTGTGAGTTTATTGGCTGGTTGCAAAGCGGAAATCTGATCACTGTCTGTCTCATGGAGTTTCCCCATTATCTGATTACTCAAGTGCATGTAAACATGTTGATCGGACTACTGACAAAATCTGATTTTCTGCAGTTATCAGATTATTAAGTGCATGTAAACGCACTCAGTGTTGTGTGCAGTTACTCTAGGTTCGTGCATAGTCTACTTATGAATAGCTTACTTACAATCAATTTCCATCTTTTGTGTTAAGATTCTGCAAAAAAAAAAGAGAAATAAACTCAGACAGCATGCAATTTTAAACATTTTGAAGGCCATAACGTAAACGTTATGTTTAAGCCTGCACTGCGTGTTTGTGAAATGCTACAGGCCACACAGATTTTTACTTTTTACTTCATAATTCTATTCAATTTGTTCAGATGTAAGCAGAGTGGCTTCATGTGAAATGGTACATTGCAGATTTTCTTTACAGTGATGGTGACAGGAATGGTATGAAAAATAGCCATTTTATTTACTATACAAAATGATCAGTGAACCTGCATGTGTTCTTGGTTTTTATGTGTAAAGCTGGAAGTGGAAGAAGTGGTAAATCTGAAGAAAAATAAATCATCAGAGTACCTTTAATACATTAATGCATTTTTAAAAGTACATTTTAGGTTAAAAACCTCACCTTAAAACTATCATAAAACAGTGTCTCAGGTACCAGGCAACATGCTCATGAATATTTTGTGTAGTAACTTTCTGTGAGATAGCGAGTACAGAGGCATTAAACTCTCTGGACGTCTGGTTCCTATCGCTACCACTGTAAATAATTCTGACAATTTAAGTTTCTCTAGAATGGAGCATTTCACACTAAAAGCCCTGAATCACTCTGTTAACATCTCAGCCATTGAATTATGCAGGTATTTTGTAAAATCAGCGGAATTACTCTTTAACTAATCACAGTGGCAGAAGGAAAATGAATCTACTGAATCAGATCGTTTGAAAGAGTCAGTTCAGTAAACCAACTCGAGCTGATGTCAACACAGTGATCACATTCACCATCTTATTAACTCAACAGGGAAGACCTAAAACTGACTACTTGTAAAAACATCAGGGTGTTAAATCCACTACCGGAGTCACATTCAACAACAGTTCATCACTTTAATAACATTTTACAAAATAATGAGCTCAACTACCAGATGTTTAAGCAGGAAAGCGGAGTGCAGTACAGCTTCATCACCGTCTGACAGAAACGCTCAGTGGATCCGCTGAGTGGAACAGAATCGCGGAACAAGAAATGAAAGTGAAAGTTCAGAGATTCAGCTTGGCTCAGTCTTCAGCGAGGACCTCCTTCAGCTCTGTCTCTCTGTCGCTGTTCAAACTTCACCTCAGCTCTTCATTTAACTCTTAATCGAGCTTTAACTCGAGTTTAAAATATTGGAGCAAAAGGACTGGAGTTCATTTTTGCTTTTGCTGGCATCTACGACTTATCAAATTCAACCCAACGTCATCAAACACACACAAACCCACAGCGTGGCTCATAAAATCATTACTTTTACCTTAAAGCACAGAGGCTCGGGGAGGTTAGTCTCTATAGTGTCCAGAAACGGGCAGAAACCGGAGCGGAACTGTCGACAACGGCTGAAACCAAGAACGTGTAATTGCAGCCCGGAGGAGAAGGGGAATGCTGTAGACCGGAGCCCTAAAGGGGAGGTAACTGGGGGCGGGAGTCTGTCAATCATTTTTAGCATCAACCAATTAAATAACTACTCTTGGCCGTCAATCACATTTTGCCTTGGCCAACCGCAGAATAGAACGAACTGTCCGTCATTTTTTGCATTAGCCAATCTAAGGGTCTGTCTGCAGACCTGCACTCTCAGCCTGACCTGCACCGCCAGCCTGTTAACGGCATCAGCGCTGCTCTGACACCACAGAGTTTCTGTTGGTTTTATGAGGGAAAAACAGCGAATCACGAACTGCTGGGCAACAAGAGCTACAGTGAACGTATATTAACGTTCTCATAGTGATAATAAGGTAATTAAATATGGAAACTTTCGAAATAAAGCCACGACGATAAAACATAATGTCGGGTTTATTCGCAGAAACACAAATGGAAACTGATGAAAGCCTGGCTGAAGACGATCAGAACCGTTAGGAATAAAACCTGATGGTTTTGCTTCCTAATGGGAATTGGCTTGATGCCGTTAGAGACCATTAGGAAACGCCCACTTGCAAGTACATGTATCTGCAGCCCGGAGAACCAGTGGGCGTAAGGAATGGGCGGAGACACTGTCAATCATTTCTTGTATCGACCAATCATATAACAGAGGTGGACTGTCAATCAAAACTTGCACTGGCCAATCACAAGTGGGAATTACCTGTCTCTCATTTTATGCATCAGCCAATGGTTTGAAGGAAAGTGCAAAAAAGCGTTCCATACTGTTCAGGCACGCGGAAGTGGGAAGATAGTTTAAAGCTTTGAAGTTGCCTTAAATATCACCTAATTTCTTATTTCAGATCAAGACATTATTATAAGTATTGTTTCACTTATATGCTTATGTGTACATGCTTAGGTCTCTTTGGCAGGTAAAGCAGGACGGAGTTCATGCAAACACTGACCATCACACATAAAAGCATCAGTGAACTGATAGAACATATTCTTCCTGACTTTGTGGGTAAATACATGAACACAATATAGAAATATGTGCTCATATGCAGTTCTGACTGGCGTGTCTTTTTCTGAGTTTATTCAAACACTGATTCCACCTCAACTTTGCTTGTTCGCAAAAAGTGATTTCATAGCCACTTGGTTCCTAATGCAACTGTTTGCCTTCAGTGTTTTGTGCTTATGATGATTTTAGGTCTCGGGTCTGCAGCATTCTCCTTCTCACAACATCCAGATTACACGGCAACGTTTGGCTGCTTCTGCTTAGCGATTTCATCACTTAATCCATTTTCCGTCCAGAACACGGCTGGAGAACTACATTAATTTACCTACCAGTTAAAAAAAGTCATAGAACCCATTAAAAGTGTCTGTCGGTTCCTGGTGGTTTTCAGTAGTCTAATGGTGTTCTGGGTTGATATCACAGGGATTCAGATCATTTAATCAGCTGTTCTGGGACTGATTCCATATATAGTTGTTCGTTTCCTAATGGTCTCTAACGGCATCAAGCCAATTCCCATTAGGAAGCAAAACCATCAGGTTTTATTCCTAACGGTTCTGATCGTCTTCAGCCTGGCTTTCATCAGTTTCAGTAGTGTGTTTGTGTTTCTGCGAATAAACCCGACATTATGTTTTATCGTCGTGGCTTTATTTCGAAAGTTTCCATATTTAATTACCTTATTATCACTATGAGAACGTTAATATACGTTCACTGTAGCTTTTGTTGCCCAGCAGTTCGTGATTCGCTGTTTTTCCCTCATAAAACCAACAGAAACTCTGTGGTGTCAGAGCAGCGCTGATGCCGTTAACAGGCTGGCGGTGCAGGTCAGGCTGAGAGTGCAGGTCTGCAGACAGACCCTTAGATTGGCTAATGCAAAAAATGACGGACAGTTCGTTCTATTCTGCGGTTGGCCAAGGCAAAATGTGATTGACGGCCAAGAGTAGTTATTTAATTGGTTGATGCTAAAAATGATTGACAGACTCCCGCCCCCAGTTACCTCCCCTTTAGGGCTCCGGTCTACAGCATTCCCCTTCTCAGCGGCCGCCATTGAGCAGCCACAGCGCGGCCACTTTTATTAGCGGCCGCCACTGAGCGGCCACAGCGCGGCCACTTTTATTAGCGGCCGCCACTGAGCGGCCACAGCCCGGCCACTTTTATTAGCGGCCGCCACTGAGCGGTCACATCGCGGTCTGTCACATCATCTGCCCAGTTAGGGTGAGAAACTACACGAGCCACCACTATCTAAAGGGATTTGCCACGGGCTGTGCATTTGTGGTGCTTATTGTTCAGGGGTTTTAGGAGATACGCAATTACTGTAAGACCACATTCCTTAATATGTTATATGGCACAAGCACTGTAGGCTATTTGTTTTTTTAACTAAGAAAATAAAAAAGTCTAAGTAAATAGTAACCCATCACAGACGACTTTATCTAGCCTAACTAAAATGCTGTGTAGTTGTGTTAGCTGTGTTTTTTGGTTTTATACAGAGAATATTTAGCAATGTGGTATTTTAATTTTACTTCATCATTTTGTCCCATTTTTTCCTTTTTTCCATCGTGTTTCATTTAATCCATCAGGGAATTACTCAGCAGTATATTATTTTTTATTTCAGGTTTGTTCTGTGCTGTTCACAGAACTGCTTCACCACCTGAGAAGTTCAGTAGTTTTGTCAGAAAGTCAGAAGCCTCACTCTCACATGGATACTGCTTGATTCTGCTTGAACTTTTACAATTAGAATGAAGCTAGAGCTTTAAAGGCATGAAAAAATTACAGTAACTTTGAAAAGAAATTTTTAATTTGCATAAAATGTATTTAGTAAATGATGAACAAATAAATCCAAAGAAAATAACAAGAATAAGTAAAAAAATAGATGAGTAAAACAAATAAAATGCCTTAATATCTAAAGGCCAAAATAAACACTTTACAACCTACACAGTGCCAAAACTAGACATCAGGATTGTTGGTCCTTGATTTTGATTAGGTTAAAAAAATGAAAAAAGGGAAATTAAAGAAAGGTTGAATGTTACTCTAAATATACTTTTGTCACAAAGGCCATTTCTGCTAGGAATCTATGGAAGCCCTCCATCTTCTTTAGGATCCAGATGGTTATCTTTGAATGGCAAAGAAGAAAAAAGTCTGGTCACTCACTGTCTGCTGAACAATAATATAACAAACAATTTTAAAGTTTTCCATTGTTACAAAATGTATATTTTGTCATTTTTTAATAATTAATTTTGAATTGCATCTTATTTGACCTCAGGTGTCAGAACCTCCAGAACATAAGCAGTGCTGTTACTTTGTAGATTCGTTCAATGATGGCTTCTGTCTGTTGAATGGAAAATTTTTACCAACAATAACTGAGTTACTTGTGAATATTCCTACATCAAACATCATGAAATATTGCCCAGTGAAAAGAAGTTGTTTTTACCTAAACTTTTGTATTTACCTGTTTTTCATCAACAATAGAAATCCGTAGGGCTAGCTGGCTCTTCAGTCGAGGGCGAAGGTGGGATGTACATGCAGATACATCCTGTTAGATTTTACTGCCCGTGTTATGAGATCTTCATGTATTTTCTAAAAATATATAAATAAATAAAAAAGTAGCAATCAACTAGGAAAGTGTAGCAGTAGTCAAACAAAAACAATGGTAAACAATGTGTGATGTGCAGTATGTAATGAACTAAACAGTTGCCAGGCAAAAGTGAAAATATGTTTTTAAAGCATACTGACTAGCACATTATATTGTAGAAGAATTTTGCAAATGCGTTACAACAATATGAACGCAAGTTATTAAAATTCTGCTGATCTACAGTAATCTAAAAAAATCTAAATTACCTTAATTTCTTCATCCTCAGTCTTGTTGTTGACCAAAATCCCCTTCCTTAGGAGTGACATTGTACTGTAAAAGAGAATACTGTATTACACAACATAGTTCTTGTTTTATGATGAAATTTGTTTTAGTACAGTATATTTTGTACCTTTCATAAGGGTATGGCTGTTTAATGTTGCATCCACAGCTGAATGGCATGTCTTTGGTGACTGTGGCAGGAATGATGCCAGCACATTCAGTGTGCAGCCATCTGTTGCAGATGTCGCACTGGATCCAATGGCGGCCGCTGATAAAAGTGGCCGCGCTGTGGCCACTCAGTGGCTGCTTCCTGCGGCCACAAGAGCGTCCACTTCCGCCCGTCACCCGGCACACAGAGATCCAACTCCTACTGGCAGCCCGGACAACCAGGGGGCGTAATGAATACGCGGAGGCACTGTCAATCGTTTCTTGCATCAACTAATCATATAACAGATTAACTGTCAATCAAAATCGCATTGGCCAATCACAAGTGTGAATTATCTGTCTCTCATTTTGTGCATCAGCCAATGGTTTGAAGGAAAGTGCAACAAAAGGCGTTACATGCTGTTCAGGCACACTGAAGTGGGAAGACAGTATAAAGCTTTGAAGTCACCTTTAGAACTATTGAAGTATTTCTGTTTTGGGCGATTTTTTACTACAACTTTAATTACAAATCAAAGTCAAATATCTTAGTTTTTACTCCACTACATTACGTGAAATCTGTTGTTCCTTTAATCCTTATGTGTGCATGTGTACATGCTTATACACTGATCAGGCATAACGTTATGACCACCTCCTTGTTTCTACGCTCATTGTCCATTTTATCAGCTCCACTTACTATATAGGTGCACTTTGTAGTTCTACAATTACTATAGTCCATCTGTCTCTCTTCTTCAGTGGTTAGGACCCCCATGGACCCTCACAGAGCAGGTACTATTTGGGTGATGGATCATTCTCAGCACTGCAGTAACACTGACGTGGTGGTGCTGTGTTAGTGTGTGTTGTGCTGGTACAAGTGGATCAGACACAGCACTGCTGCTGGAGTGTCCACTCACTGTCCACTCTATTAGACACTCCTACCTTGTCAGTCCACCTTGTAGATGTAAAGTCAGAGACAATAGCTCATCTGCTGCACAGTTTGTGTTGGTCATCCTCTAGTCCTTCATCAGTGGTCACAGGACGCTGTTGGCTGATCCACTCATACCAGCACAACACACGCTAACACACCACCACCACGTCAGTGTTACTGCAGTGTTGAGAATGATCCACCACCCAAATAGTACCTGCTCTGTGAGCGTCCATGGGGGTCCTAACCGCTGAAGAACATGGTGAAAGGGGGCTAAGAAAGTATGCAGAGAAACAGATGGACTACAGTCTGTAATTGGAGAACTACAAAGTGCACCTGCAGTTATGTGCAAAATAATAGCAGTCTAACATCACTAATGTGTTTAATTACTGATTTTGGCAGAAAAGATAATACAACATGGGGAAAAATTCATGTCTAGGTGTAGCCGAGCAATGGGCAGCCAACAGAATCAACAGTCATGACATGCACGCTGCTAATTGGGTGTAATTGACTCATTTAATGAAAGGGGTGTGTTCAAATTAATAGCAGTGTGGAGTTCAATTAGTGAGGTCATTCATTCTGTGAAGAAACAGGTATCAATCAGGGCCCATATTTAAAGAAGGAGGGCAGCAAATGTTGTACCTGCTGGTTTTAGCCCTTGCTCAGTGGGTAAAATGGGTCGTTCCAGACATTGTACTGAAGGAGAAAGAACTTTGATCAAGAAGTTGATTGGAGAGGGGAAAACATAAAAAGAAGTGCAGAAAATAATTGGCTGCTCAGCTAAAATGATCTCAAATGCTTTAAAATGGCAAACAAAACCCGAAACGTGGTAGGAAAAGAAATACTACCATCAGCGTAGATCATAGATTAACAAGAATGGCAAAGAAGCATCCAATGATCAGCTCCAGGGAAATCAAAGAAGATCTTCAGTTACCTGTGAGTACTGCAACAATCAGAAGACGTGAAGCCGAACTATTTGCAAGAAACCCTCGTAAAGTACCATTGCTAAAAAAAAAGACGTGTTGAAAAGGTTACAGTTTGCCAAAGAACACATTGACTGGCCTAAAGAGAAGTGGCGCAACATTCTATGGACAGATGAGAGCAAGATTGTTCTTATTGGCTCTAAAGGCCACAGACAGTTTGTGAGACGACCCACAAACACTAAATTCAAGCCACAGTTCACTGTGAAGACTGTAAAACATGGAGGTGCAAGCATAATGGTTTGGGGATGTTTCTCATACTTTGGAGTCGGGCCCATTTATCGCATACCAGGCACCATGGACCAGTTTGAATATATCAAAATACTGGAAGAGGCCATGTTGCCTTATGCTGAAGAAGAAATGGGTGTTTCAGCAGGACAGCGACCCCAAACACACCAGCAAGCGGGCAACATCCTGGTTCCAGACCAACAAGATTCATGTTGTGAAGTGGCCAGCCCAACCCCCAGACCTCAATCCGATTGAGGATTTGTGGAGTGACATAAACTGTTTTTGCAAAACCCAAGAATGCAGAAGAACTGTGGAATGTAGTCCAGTCAACTTGGGCTGGAATATCTGTTCGCAGGTGTCATGTTAGTTGACTCCATGCCACACAGATGTAAAGCATTTATCAGAAATAAAGGTTATACAACTAAATATTAATTCAGTGATTAACAGAAAAGCTAAATCTGTAAACAGATTTCAGTTTATACTGTAAATATTCAAGTTTGTAAATGAAAATGCAGACTGCTATTTTTTTGAACAGCCTATTATTCTTTTTTCTTCATTTTCAGTTTAAAAATTGATATTTTGTTCATGTTTTCATTTGGAATTGAATGTGCAGTGCTCCCACTGCCTTTGTGTATGTGGAAATAAATGCTATTATGAGGATTGAGCTTTTTCTCAGTTGTTTTAAACACACTGCTGTTATTTTGCACATAACTGTATATAGTAAATGGAGCTGATAAAATGGACAATGAGTGTAGAAACAAGGAGGTCATAATGTTATACCTGATCAGCGTATATAGAATACAGTAAAGGAAAACTCATTCGTGAACCTGTGTAATCTGCGGTTGGTCAGGGCAAAATGTGATTGAGGGCCAAGAGTAGTTATTTAATTGGTTGATGCAAAACCCGCCCCCAGTCCCCTCCCCTTTAGGTCTCCGGGCTGCAGCATTCCCCTTCTCGCTAAAACAGGGTGTTCCTGAGGAAATGGATGTAAGTATTGCCAAAGATTATATAAAGCAAGACAGTACATGTCTGTTCAAGTCAGAGGAGCGGAAAAGGATTCAGTTCCTGTCTCTATAAATTGGGGAATGAGTCCTCCCTCCCCCTCACCAAAACTATGTTCCCAGAAATGTTTTGTCATGGCTCTCTGCTTCATGCACTCTCAGAAATAAAGCTACTAAACTGTCACTGGGGTATTTCCTCTCTTGTTGCCCCTCAAGGGTACATCTTAGTACCTTTAGTCATAATTGTACCATAATCCACTGAAATTGTATTTTCTAAGTTGTATGGACTCCACACACCCCGTCCCGTCTCCAGGCTTTTTACTGTATTGTTGTTTTAAAACATTAGGTTATGAAAAGGTACAAATATGTACTTTTCACCTGGAGAGACTTATTTAAGGTTCACAACTGAACCTTAAAACCACTGCTGTACCTTTGAGGCTACATGTTACTTTGATGAATGAAAAATTTACCAGCACAGAACATTTACTTCTAACAGTATGTGAGGGAGGATGGGATGCCTATGCTTCCGTGCCACTGTGTTGCTGCACCTCCACGAGCTGAACTTCCGGATGTCTTTTTTTGGAAATTTAAGGTCAACAGTAGCATCACTGACAATTCAAAGAATTATTAAGAACTGTCTACATCATTCTTAAACCAGATTAATCCCGTAAGGCAATGGTAGATGGCTTAATAAAGCTAATTTGTGAGACTGCTGCAGTTGCAGACTGACATTAAGTAGGACTTTAACATTATACATTATTAGTAGTGTATAATAAAGTATTCTGTATGGTGGTTTGGAATTTCTGACATCGCCAGCAGCAGAAAATGCAGACAACATGTAAGAGTGAACTTTGAAGGTGTGGAAAGTTTCCCCGCAGATTTCAGAGAAACTGAAAATAATAGAAGCTGTAATGAAGGTAAAGGATGGAGACACTAAACACTAAAAACTGATATTATGTTTAATTGTACTTTATGACCTTTTTGCTTGGAAATGAAATATAAGGGTGGTCGTACTTTCACACATTACTGTACTCCAAATTTTATGTGTTAACAGAAAATGGGCCTGCAAGCCTTTAGTAAATGTCTTTGCTAATGCGTTATTGTAAACATATACATTTTTTGTTCATGAAAACATGCACTTTACATGTTAACACAATAAATCCTGATCTTAGAATTACAAAATTCTGTGTTCAGTTTTAAGATCTGAGCATCAAAGACCTCTGAACATTTAAATCCTAGAATATCTTTAAATAGCCTTTTCCATGATGCGCCAAACATCATAATATAGCTAACAAACAGCCAATTTGGATTAATATAGTTAACACAGATGCAGCCTTTTAATTCTGAGAACTGCATGAAGATGAGGTACTATAGGGAAAGTGTAACCATGTACACTACATGAAGTAGTATGAAGACAGGATTAATCTGTTATGCTGCACTCTCAGATGTTTTTTCATGGGTTCTTTAGTAAAGAAAATGGTTCTACATAGAACCATGAACACATAAAGAGCCCTTTGCACGATTAAAGTGTTCTTTGCATTGGGAAAGTGTTCTTCATCTTGATGGAGAATGTGCTGTAGAACTTTGAAAAGGGTTCTATATAGTACCAAAAAGGGTTCGTCTATTGTTACAAGCTTGACATTATGACTATAGCAAAACCCGTTTTGGTTCTATTTAGAACCCTTTACATATGGTGCCATATAGAACCATGTACAGCACATTCTCCATCAGTCTGAAGAACCTTTCATAATGCAAAGTACACTTTCATCATGCAAAGAGTTCTTGAAGTGTTCATAGTTATAAATAGAACCATTTACTATACTAAAGAACCCCGGAGGAAGCATCAATTATGGCAAAAGCACAAAAGAAAGAATCTCAAAGATGTTGATTTCTCGACGTGTATTTATTTGATTACAAAAATATTAGAAATATTGCTTCTCTGCAGCTGTTTGTGTGTCTCATTGCTGGTTTTCATCTTCACACTCTGCAGTCTCACTGCAGTTACCTCAGCATTCCTGAAATCGAACAATTAAGAAGTTAAACAGCAGCATCACTGACACTTCAAAGAATGATTAAGAACTACGTACATCATTCTTTAACCAGACATTCCATGACGTAATGTTAGATGGCTTTGCTACACAGTAACTGTGAGATTATTACAGTTGCAGACTAGCATTATTATAAGTACATTTGTTTTTTGTAGCAGGCTGAATCCCAACCCAAATTCCTCATAATCTGACCTGCAGGACTTAATGTTTTCTCCAGTTCTTGAACGAGATGTGGATTCTGCCTCATCAGCGCTTGATAAAAAGCAGTTTTTGCTGCACTTCCTTCGGTGTCCAAGGCCTCATACAGCGCTCGCATTTTGTCCTGGGGGGTCTTTTCCGCTTTAATGTTTGCGTATGCCTCTTTACTTAACATCCTCTTTGACAGCAGCTCATCAGCCAATGGCATTACTAAAGAAACACGCTGGATAAGCTCCGTTCTTGTACGGTCCACAAAAACATCTGAGGGGGTGATTCCTTAAATGAGTTTGATATACAGGTTCAGGCATGAAATATTGACATTATTAATAATTTATTATTGGCTCTTTGTTAATTGCATTCAGAAACATTGCTGTTTGCAGTTAGTCTCGGTGTGTAGATAGCATACTTATTACATAGCTTACTTACCATCAACGTCCATGTTCTCCATTCAGTTTCTGTGAAAAAAGATAAACAGACTCAGAGAGCATGCAATTTAATATATTTTGAAGGCAGTAAGCAAAAAGCTGCTTCTGTTTATGGCTCACACAGAGAGAGAGAGAGGAACGAGGTTCTCATAGAAGACTGAACCCAGCAGAATCTGTTTTAGCTCTCACTTTCATTTGGGGGGTGAATGTACCGTCGCCTAATGGGTGTGTCTGATCCTGGTTTGAATATTGAGAATATTTGAATATTGTAGCATCTGCACTCTCTCTCTCGCTCTCTTTCTCTCAGCTGTACTGAGCTGTGTCAGCCTGTTGACCTTAGGTTTCCCAATATTCAAACCAGGATCAGACACATCCATTAGGCGACACTAAATTCACAACCTCCCCCCGCGACTTTACAAACCCAGTTTAGCTGGAGAACCGCGAACATGTCAGCTCTGTGGAAGAGAACAGCCGAACAAAGAAATGAAAGTGAGAGCTAAAACAGATTCCGCGCGGTTCAGTCTTCTGTGAGAACCTCGTGCCCTTCGCTCTGTCCACCACAAACATGCTGTCCTAAACTTAAATCACCTCAACTCTCAGTTTACTCCTTAATCACGGTTTAAAACAATGGAGCAATAAGGTCGATGTTTGTCTTTGGCCTTAGTGAATTGTGACTGATGTTTAAATTAAACTATGGTTAGACCTAAATCTAGGTTTAGGGTTTAGTGCCACCGGTTAAAAACTTTGATTTGATCCATTTTAACGTTAATCCGTCGTTGGGTCGTGTTAGCTACATAATCAACATAACTATGGCTGATAGTGTAAGTGAGATTCATCTACTCACATCTCAAAGCAACAGCACAGCACATTAGAAATACTCTTAAAAAAAGAGAAAAGTTTACCTTATGTGGCTCTGAGGAGTTCAGCAGAACAGTATCCTGACACGGACAGAAACTCGAGTGGAGCTGTTGAACCAGAAAATGTTGAAGACAGATTCTGAGGAATGCAAGGAAGTACAAAGGGGACGGGCAAAGACCTTTGTAGTCCCATTCTGTAGTGGGTTATGCCCATATTAGGAGACTGTGGTTGTGCTCATTCTGTAGTGTATGTTGTGCTCACATTAGGAACTATAGACCACTGTGGTCAGGTCCTCCTTTTGTAGTCGGCAACTCTGGGTCTAAAAGGAATTTCTCTTTGAGAAAAATGAATGGAGTTTTTGAAACTTGCCTCTTTCGCATCCTGTGATAATTAAAATCTTCCAAAGCTGATACGGTTTTTCTTTTCTCGAAGATCACTGGATCCTCTGAATTACGAGGTCGTTAAAGAGTTGAAACACTCGTTACATGTAAACTAAAGCTACTGCACACTGGATTGACATCATTAGACTGGCAGCCTCCTTAATAACTGTGCAAAACAGCACACTTTCTTTACATGGAAATACACTGAGGGCAAAAGAAGCAGGTTTCCCTGTTAAGCTGACGAGTTGCGGTAAGTTACCCTACCGTAGCACATGTTTATATGTATGTTCGTAAAGAAAACATCTATATATAAGTAGGATATTAAGATAATCTAAAACTCTTTATCAAAAAATACTACCAGTGCTAAAACTGAGGCTGAATTTGGCTTCTTGTTCGCGTTTTTACGTTCCACCTTAAATGGTGCAGTTTGGTAATGCCGAAAGGTTGACTTGGACCCCTCAGGCTGAGTAGGTTTTTGAAGCCCTCAAAGTAGCTTTCACTACTGCACCCATATCAAGTATCCATATCAAGGCGTTCTGCAGTACCTCGTGAATTGGGAGGTCTATGGTCCTGAGGAATGCTGTGGGGTTCCGCATGTCCAGGATCTGAGGTTGGTGGAGGCCTTCCATCACCATCATATGGGAAAGCCCACTCCTAGGCCACCCCACATGTTGTTCGTTCAGCCTTCCCACTGGTCAGCGCAGTGGTCATCAGTTTTGACCTGTCCCAGCTTTTGTATATTGCCTGAAGGTTAAATGAGCTCTGATCAGAGATTTTTTCTGATTCTCTGGGTTTCGAGTAATGGAATAGAGGAGAACCAAACGGTCAGAATTATAAGAGGCCTGTGCCGAGATTTTAGGTTTACCAGATTAGAAGAGCTGGAATAAAATGCCATGCACTAAAAAGAATGCTGGTTCTGTGAGAAGCTTTATAGTGGTAGCCTAAACTGATACTGACTAATAATGTTAAAATTCACATCAGTGGTCACCAACCCAGGTCCTGAAGATCTACCTTACTGTGGACTGTAGTTTAAAGCACAACCTGCAACACCTGCTCCCGCTGATACATTTCTTCAGAAGTCCTTGATTGGCTGGATAAGATGCATAAGTGTTGGGTCATGGGCCTTTACATTTACTGCATGTAGCAGATACAGAATGATTTACAGAATGCTTTACTGTCCATTTACATATGTCCATAGCTTATATAAACATGTAAGAATGTATGTCTAAATATACATTCACTGTTTCTTAGTTTCTATAATTCTTAGCATGAACTCAATCAATAGTCACTGGCCCAAGTGTCCTTCGTGCACTCGCGTCCAGACATTTCTGTGCTAAAGAGAAGGGTCACATGACTAGGCCTAAGATTTCCTCAGGGCACAGTAGGTGAATTATGATCATGTGATCCTCTATTGCAGTTGAAGCTATTGAATGTAAAATCCAGTATTTCATCATTGTCACACAAAAAAACTTGTATCTACATGTTTTTTTTTTTTTTACTTTTTTACATAATTTGAAACCACTACTGAACTTTTGCATTGTGTTGACATTTCATGATGAATAGACCAATAAAAATGGTCCAAATTACTTTTTTATTAGGAAAAAGAATCTAGCTACATTAATGTCCATTACAAGTTAATAGGGTTTTTTTCTTTTTCTGTAAAGTTACTATTCTGGATAGATGTGTGGTTTTGTTCCAACAACGGTGACTTTCTCTTACCCATTTTTACTGCATAGATTTCTAAGAATATTGTTCAGTTTAGTGTTTTTGGTTAAGCACTGTGACCTCGTAAATATGTTTAGGCTATTATTACAGAAATTATTACAGAAAACCATGGGGCAGACTAATCTTTGCAGTACTTTTCTGTGATCAAAAGTTCATAGTGTCACTATTCAACTTTTTTTTATCGATCATACAAAGACAAGATCTGTGACAAATTGAAAATTTACTAGTAAAATGATCCACAAATGCTGAGATACTGTCTGTGTTACCACATTAACTTTTGGGAACAGAAAGTGAATTAGGGTCATGTTACCCTCTACTACATTTAAAACTTTTTCATGAAATTCTGTGGGTCTTATCATATAAAATCATTGTTGTAGTGTTCAGTTCAGAAGTGTAAGGTATTCATGTGTCTGATGCATAAAATAAGTACAGAGAGACTCCAGCCCTCTAAAATGTTGATGGCTGATGGTGGCAGAGACTAGCTTTTACAACTTTATAGTGTTTTGTGTTAATATCTTTGAGGTATTTTTTACAGAGATTAACATTTTTATTTCAAGTTGCTGGAATGTGAATATGTTTCGTGTAATTTTTGCTTCATTGCAGATGATTTGCCCTGTTATTTTTCCTTTTCAGTATTGGTGTTAGATTTTTCTTCCTCAAATAGGATGATATTGTCTAATTTTCACAGATAAGCGTTATAGCTCAGGTAAAGCTGTTGTACCTCTTAAAAAACAAAATTCATTGGTGACGGTAATACACTTGCAGAAGAATGAGATGTGATCAGGGAGCCTCACAAGAAGCTTGTCTGCCCTCTTGTGGTGGGATAAAAACTTTGCAGTACTTTTCTATAATCTGAAGTTCACAGAGTCAGTATTGCACCTTTTCTTACATAATATTTACATTAATATAATCTCTTTGCCAGCATCTTTCTGAAAAATCAGATACATTTTTAATTTAATTTAAAATGTTGCTTCTTGATTTTTGCACAATGAAAGTTTATTCCTGTCATGTTTTATAGTTTTTTTCTGTGCTGATGACGATTCATTTTATTCACACAGTCATTTAAGACAGACACTGTTAGCTCTGTGTATGTAAAATGTTATGACTCTGTGTTGAGCTGCTAGTGAGCATTGAGGGGTGAAAGCGGAGGGGTGAGACGACCCCAAAATAGACAGAAATTGCATTTTATAGGTACTGTGAAAAAGGGTTAACCAGTTCCAGGTTTCGAGGTTCTACATGGACATTACAAAGTATATGAGTATAACCATCAACATATAATTGTGCAATATCTCATAATCTTCTAAGACAGGGGTGATAATCATTTCTCCTGGTGAGCCACAGCTCTGAAGATATCTTCCTCTTCTAATGCTAAAGTCAGCCCCCAAAGGTCCTGCTAATTCAGTGATGAGCTGAATAAGGTTTTTATTTGAGGCAGAATGTTCAGAGCCAGTCCTGACCTCCCTGGGGCCCAAAATTATACAAAGGAGCCCTCCTACCTGACCCATGAGACATCTAAACCATCTGCAACTGCCACACAGTCATACCTGACACAGCAGTGCTCCCACGACAATCCTCCCTCCTTTAAAACAGTTTGTTTCATCTGTCAGTCTAAGAATAAGCAGACCTATGCAGAACAGAATGAGGTATGAAACAATATTTATCAATCAATCAATATTTAGTCCTCTACTGACAAACTTAAGCATAGTCCCTGAGCATAGCATGCTCTGGATAAGAGTGTCTGCCAAATGTAAACTTGAAAAAAAAATAAATAAAAAAAATAAATAAAAATAATAATAATAATAATAATAACAATAATAATATTATGAATTTTATCAGCTGCATCAGGCCTATTCAAACTGGCTCCCCCAGATTTCCTTTTATTTTCAAATATAAACTTCTATTTATACTATGGTTATACTATATCATGGCTCAATGTCACTTCATTGCTTTCCATTTTGCATTAGTCCAGAGTTGTAACTAAACCATGACTGAGACACTAGCTAGTTGTCGTCTTGTTGTAAAATATTATGCCCCTGTGAGGAGTGTGTCATCACGCCCATATTTTGTCTGGACTTGGCTGTCTCCACAGAGGTTGCTACTGCAAAATGAGTTTCATTTTGTGCACACGCATAGGAACATGTTTAAACATGAAGCAGTTATCTTTTCTGAACTGCAGTCTGTAAACATCGTTAGCATTCATCAAACATTCATCAAACATAATAAATAGTTGTATTTCACTTTCACAGACTAGAGAGAGATGCACTGCCCAGCTAGGTTAGAGAGACAGACTAGAGAGAGACACATTGCCCAGCTAGGTTAGAGAGACAGACTAGAGAGAGACACATTGCCCGGCTAGGTTAGAGAGACAGACTAGAGAGAGACACACTGCCCAGCTAGGTTAGAGGGACAGACAGACTAGAGAGAGACGCACTGCCCAGCTAGGTTAGAGAGACAGACTAGAGAGAGACGCACTGTCCAGCTAGGTTAAAGAGACAAACAGACTAGAGAGAGACGCACTGTCCAGCTAGGTTAAAGAGACAAACAGACTAGAGAGAGATGCACTGTCCAGCTAGGTTAGAGAGACAAACAGACTAGAGAGAGACACACTGCTCAGATAGGTTAGAGAGACAAACAGACTAGAGAGAGACACACTGCCCAGCTAGGTTAGAGAGACAGACAGTATCAAGAGAGATGCACTGCCCAGTTAGGTTAGTGAGACAGACTGGAGAGAGATGCACTGCCCAGCTAGGTTAGAGAGACAGACAGACTAGAGAGAGACACACTGCCCTGCTAGGTTAGAGAGACAGACGGTATCAAGAGAGATGCACTGCCCAGTTAGGTTAGAGAGACAGGCTAGAGAGAGACACACTGCCCAGCTAGGTTAGAGAGACAGACCGACTAGAGAGAGATCCACTGCCCAGTTAGGTTAGAGGGACAAACAGACAGACAGACTGGAGAGAGATGCACTGTTAGAGAGACAGACTGGAGACAGATGCACCGCCCAGCTAGGTTAGAGAGACAGACAGACTAGAGAGAGATACATTGCCCAGTTAGGTTAGTGA